AAACTCACCCTGATACTAGATTTCCAGACTATCAAACAAGGAGGTTTAGGACCAGTGTGATGTCAGTATTTGAACATCAATTTAGAGTTTCAAAGTGTACACAGTTAACTTTGTACAAAACATATACTCTGATGAACCAACCATGTCTAATAACTGACAAATTACACCCTGCTTGTGGACATAGTTGACTGTCAGGATTGGAAAAACAACAGTAAAACAACGTCCTTTTTTCATTAAGACTTGGTAACTCAAATGTGTAGTACAGTTCCCATCTAGGTCAGAAGTACATCAACTCACACAAGATCGTCATCACCAGACACACATTTACTCAAAAAGCTTATTCCAAAACTACAAATGCTATTTCTGACAGAGAAATGGTTGATGTTCAGAGTAGACTCAACAACAGACACAGACCCACAACAGTGTAGACACAGACAACAGAGTGACAACAGAGTGACAACAGAGTGACAACAGTGCTGGTCGATTCAAAAACATGTACAGGGGTTAATACAGTGACAGCCATCACTCATGTGTTACTTCTGGTGCAAACCTGGCTTGTTGAGTGAGTGAGTTTGGTTTAACGCTGCTTTGAAAAACTGCAGAAAACTATGGTTATAATGAACTCAAAGGGGCCACTACTTTTAGTTTGTTATAACCGTAGTTCGTTATAAGCATATATACAACATATTTTCAGCACTTGGCTGGGACCCAAAAATTAGTTGGTTATATCTGTCAGTGTGTTATTACCATGTTCGTTATAAACACAATTTACTGTATTTCAGTCATATCATTGCGTGTCTGTACGATGTGGATGGAAAGCCAGAAGTGTTGCAGGTATGGTGCTGACAAACCTAGAAACATTATCAAGGCAAACGTGGGATTTGAACCCACAATTTCGCCAACTCAGGGCAGAAAATTGTAGAGTTTTGGACGACAGGGCCACCCCTGCTTGTGGCTCGTAGATATCCTACATGCATCGAATATATGACATAAACCTTACAGTCAGTCACAATTCATATAAGAAAATCATTAATCTATATTAATCAAAATATAATATAGGTGGCCATTTTCAACATTATCTCAAGTGACACTAACACTGATACGAAAAAACATTTTTCGAAAGGTCTTTTTGAGTTCTTGTTAACAGAAAAAAACAGATTCAACTTACACTGGGGCTTTAATGATAGTTCCCTGATAACTATTGTAAGGTGGGGATATCATAGAGATACCTAATCACCATACATGAAACATGCCACTTGTTATTCTGCCCCATAGCATATGCCAGATGATCACGGCATGGTGAGTTGTGTCGTAACACAGGAGGCATTTGTATTTGTCTCATAAGATAATCTGGTAATAGCAATCAGCTGTTTACACATTTTCTCCCCTATCTATGGGTGATTTAGTTAAAAACATACTTAATGTCATGGCCAATATCAAAACTGAAAACAAATTTCACAAGAATTGAAAGGAAGACTGAAAACTTTGTATCTCTTGCGACTAATTTTTGTTTCAAGGTGAATTCATGGTTAGTTGATGTGATTTGCAGATCAGATCATACACAATTTCACCGAAATTAATGTAAACAAAATTGAATGAAATCTTTGAGAAAAGTAATATATTGGATTACAAACTTAAGTCCAGATACACAATGAACACTTGTATAGCCAGATAGTGTAATAATAGGAGTAACTTGCATACTTCAGTACGGATTTGTTCACATGCTTCTTTCGGTGTTGTGTGCTCAAGATAACGTCTTTGCATTGTGAAACAAAATCAAAGCTCATTGTATACGTGTACTATGCACACACTCGTAGTCCAACGATAGTCCAATACTGTATTCCAGAATTTTACTCATCAAGGAAAACATTTATGTAGGGAGGCCCTATCCCAGGTTGTTGGTAGAAACTGTTTATTTGTTTACATACTACATGTAGTTTGAACACCACAACCCCCTCCACAAAAAGGCCGCCCTCCCGCACTATATTTTCAAAAGCCATTGCCTGAGAACCAATTCTTTTATTTTTTAAGCCTAACTGAACACTACTAGGACTCACAAGATACACTGTATAGAAAACTTGTTACTTTACAGTATGACCAAACAAAGGCTGTACAGAGCTAAAGAAATCACCCTGACTTTTACAGCAAACACACACAGACAATGTTCTCTAACACACAGTAACATCTATGAGTAGCAACATCACACCAAGTCATTGAGTTAGTAACACCACTTAGTCTACCTACCACTAGTGTGAATTGGGGGCAAAGTTCTGTCTGAAAACAACATGAACATGTTATGCTGAAGACAACTAAAGTCAAGGAGCATTGCATCAAGCGGCACCTGAAAACTAATATTCAATTAAACTATTCTGATTGTAACCTATGTTATCACTATTCACGCTCACTGATGCTTTGATATTAGTTCAAATTGAGAAGCAAATGTCACCTGGAAGCAAGAGATCTTCAACTAAAAGATAGATTTTTTTTTGTAATACAGCTGCTTAGCTCATGTTGCTCAAATAAAGTAGATCAAAGTTGAAAATTATTAACATCTTTCATCAAAAGTGATAATAATAACTGCAAGAAACTGTATGTATAACTCTTTATAGAAACTAATCAGGAAGATTCACAAAAAATTTATACTTGAATAGAACAACAAAACAAACACATTGGTCAGTATGAAATAAATGATACAAAAATATTTTAATCTGATAACTACATGCCAAATAAAGCAAATCTGTTATTACTGAGGTCAGGACTGTTAAATTTTGAATTCAAGCAGGCGTCAATGGAATCTTTAGACTCGCCTACCTTTTGTCTTGGATCGCACAAGTTTTGGAAGGTCTCTGAGCTTTAAATCTGATGCTGTAGGTGTGTAATTGTTGGCAATAGACTCGCTGGGGCTGCGGTGATATTTCTGTTCTTTGAATGGTGCTGCAAGAGTCCATGATGTCCCTTTCATCAACGGAGGATGCTCACTGTTTCTCAACACAATCTGGAAAAGAGAAAAGTTTTTCATGTGCCTACCCAGAAAATGACATTTCAAAAATCCTTATACTCTTGGTTGTTAGGCACCAATTACAACAGCACATCCTCCCCCCAAAAAACATCATCCACTACTCTGGGTAGCAAACCTTCCTATACCAAATAGTGAAAAAAGTCACCCCTAAGAACCAAATTTGAAAAACATATAAGCCCATTATTATGTATTTATTCTATTCGTATATGAGGAACGGTAAACATCATCACAGACAAGTAATTACTCAAAATAAGCCTAAATGACAGGCTAGGGTATTCTGAATAATCCCATTTCACATCCATATCTGGCCTGAATGTTACCTGATAGAGGTCAGAGGGATGACTATCAGTTGATGGAAGTGGGGGAAGTCCAGGCAGCCCTCTGGTCTTGCTGCAACTCTGGATTGGTGTTTCACACACCTGAAAAGTTGTCATGTATGTCAGCTGAATCTTGGAATCTTGTCATGTGTTGTACATTGATTTATTCAAAGATGAAAACATTGTTACATAATATCTAATCATCTATGTAGAATGTATTTCATGTATTTCACAGCTACAGATAAGCAGCGTATTTGCGTAAAACAACACACCCAAATATTCAAAACCCAATTACTTTCAACTAACTTGCACACAGAAACGCATGCATTAAATTAAATGTACAAAAACAGCTCGCGTAAATACCCAGTGAAGCTTTTTCAGCATGCATACAAATAGAACATTATTACATTTCTTTTAAATCTTAAAATGTTCACTAATTTTGGGAAAACCCAATAGAGTGAGGAATAAATGAGTGAAAAAATATTGGTTACCCAATGAAAAATGTAATAACCCAATTAAAATTGAAACCCTAGAGTAAAAACTCAATTGCTCAAAAAGTTATCTGGAGCTCGGATTTCAACTTGATCTGACGATAATTTTGCATCAGAACTCGTATGCACGGATGAATACATTGATGTATCAGCTTCCTGTCTTTACTGTCATGTGGCTTATCATGTTGTGCATCTATTTTTAATTTGACTGTAATGGAGGGGCTTGAAATCATGTGACCGTAACAAGTAGGCATCTGACCGACTCATCTCGCCTTGACAGGCATTATCACCAAAAAAAATTTAACCATCTAAGTGTTAACAGAAATAAATGTTCTCAAAGGTAAGATTTAGTTTTCATGTATTGGGATTGTTAATAAATGTTATTAGACACATAATCAGAATTACATCTTAGGGGTTAAAAAACCCATAACACAAGGATATATTGACTTGATAGTAAAGCTAGTGACCTTTGAAAACTTGAACTTACACAACTAGCCAAACATGATTATTTCTTGTAAGATATTAATAAAAAATATTTCTAACGAAAATGCAGTTATTGTAGCTCTGTTCACATGGTTCATATGGGCGAAAGTCGTACCAACATATTCATGCAACTGGTGTTAACTAAAGGATATCGATATGAGTGCAAAGCAAAGTGAAAAATAGCATTTTGAAAAATATTCCAACTTTCCTATAAAAAAGACTATGAATGAATGAAGATGAGATGAATAACATGGTATATCACCTGCTTTGACGACTTACACCGGAGGGAATTCAACGCACTTTTACAGTTCCAATAATCAAAACATAAACCTATGAGAAAAGTTTAAAAGGATAAAATGTCTTTGCCTGCAGTATGAATAGGCTCAGATATTTGTGTGCCGAACTACCAAATTATCAAATTCATTACAAACCTTGGCCCGCTGAAGAGCCATATCTGAAAACAAGAAATCTGTAGGCTACTCTCAGAGATGTATTTATGTTGTTTTTGCTACAGAGGCTGTCGTCACTTTCTGGGGACCTCTATCAAGGGCATCAGTCCCCGTAATCATGAACACTATAATTCGCGAAACCTGTCACCAACAGAGATCCTCCATCTTGTATAATCAACATCCGGGCGACTGAGTTGCTAAGAGGCGAACCTCGATAAGGTTACTTCCGGTAGCAGACGACGCGCCGCATGTGGGGTTTATCCCTTGCTTATTTTCACACATTTAATGTGTCCAATTTAAGGGTCTTAAAATTTCCAGTGCGAAATACAAGTGGTACTGCTACCAGTTTGTGGTGAACGAGTTGTTGTTTTAATTTGACACTGTAATCAATTTAGTGTCAGTTCATTTACTTTGGCCTACGAAAGAGGCAGTGGGCAAGATTAGAGTGTCAGTATTCTGTTATCTGTTTCAAGAGAAGCAATGTTCACTAGTTAGCACTGGGTAATATTATGTTGGGGTTAACTGATAACGTCTATTTTCATTTTTAAATTACCACAAGGTAATATTTTGTCGAATACTGAGTTATAACCGGATAAGTACGGGGGCCGTCGCATCAAGGGCGATAACTCCTCCATTCATACGTGCAGAGATCCAAAGGCCGAATCTCAATACGATTAAGCAAACAAATAGTTGTCACCTTGGGGACGGCGACGCTCAAATGCAAGCGGCCTACTAAGAAAGCCATATTGAACAGATAATGCCCCGACTCGAATGTGTATGGTTGGTCGGTTGTGTTGTAGTGGAAGTGATACAGTGGCAATGAGGATTCAGAGGGAATGTTTGGAGAATGTTACAGATCCACCTTCAGTTGGCTAACGGGATACCATTAAACAATTAGGATACTGGTAAGAAAAGTTACTGTGTGAACTTTGTATTGATGTCATCGTCTACTCTTGCATGCAGTTGCATACACTTTTGGATTTTACATAGACACATGCTTGTAGCAATTTATATTCATAGAACTCTAGCTTTAAAATGCTTGTAGATCTGAGTTATTTAACTTCATGTTTTGTTGAATGTTTAATTTTTATTTCATGAATTTTGATGGTAATGCTTATTAAATTCAATCATTATATGCTAATGCAATTATAATTATGAAGAAAACTTATTTATTATTTCTAATCTATGTTGTTTCTTTCTCTTATACATTCTCTTAAAAATATTTTAGTTTCTTTTCATTAAACCTATCTTCTGAAAAACTGTTATGTATGCTGGAATGAAGTTTGTATTCCAAAAAGTTCCTCTTATGCCATTTTGTGATACAAACATGGATTTTTTCACAAGATAATAACTGATGTGTAGTATGAATTATTTATTAATTAATAATGTTAATAATGGACATTCCATTTATTCAATTTCAGTCGAAAGATGTTGGACGTGTACAACTATACTGGATCTTCCCTATCCAGTACAATGAAGCATCCACAGTCCAATCGGGAAACCTATGAGTTTAACCTGGGAAAGGCTCCAGAACTGAGATGTGTTTTTTCACAAAAGGCAACTGTGTGTGGAAAATGTGAAACATGCGAGTTAAATGACCGACTCAAATATGTTAAGGAATGGTTCCCCCGCTTTGGAGACCATTCCCAAAAACGCTTCATGTTGGGATTGATGAGACGCATACACAGTATTAACCTACTACAACAATTAGTGACTCTTCTTCAACCGTTACTGAACAAGGACTATACCTATGCTCGGATGAGAACATGCCCAAGTTTACGGACAGATACAATGACACTTAGTTCCGATCGGAGTTTATCATCCGGTGCTGTTGAGTACTACATTACCTCGACATGGGACTGGTTTGCAAAATCAAATTATTGGTCAAAATCAAATTTTGCCCTGGCATTATTGCGTTTGTGTGATGTTCATCTTCTACATATTCTTGGGACGCAAGCAAGAACATTACTCATCTCCGAGGAGAACGCATGTGGGGGCCATGAAGGTAATATTCCATCCATTGTTGAAACTGATCCATCCTTGTTTCAAATATTGCTAGGTAGGCAGATATTTAAGAAAATTTATACATTTATATTTGAAGAAAGTACATATTCTAACTCAATAATAGGGGCTTATTTTGAGAATTTACATTTATATTTATATATATATTTATATTTAAGATTTACAAGACAATTATTGAGTGATACAGCTGAATACTCTAAACAAAACATGTTTTAAGTTAAAACCTCATGTTTGTGGTTCATAAATTGTTTCTGTCCAGAGAAGCAGTATATTAATTCCCCTTAAACCATGGCTCCTTTGTCTTTGACCGTGGTCTAACTAGGTTTATTGTTAGTTAAATACGACTTGGCAATGACGAAATTTCTTTTTTTCCCTAGCATTTATGTTGATGATAGAACAATTTCATGTAAAAAAGGTCGCCAGCGGGATTTGAACCCGCAAAGTCCGCACGGAAGGTTAACGAATGTAGTCTTCTGCCTCGGCAACATGGGAAAAATTGTGTGAAATTAACAACTAAATATTTAGTTACATCAGACTAATTGTTTATCCATTTATGAACTGCAAAATATGTTTTATGCAATTTTTATAACAGTATGTTACTCGATGCATGTTAGTATTTGTGCAGTACTTGTGATTTGGTAGCTTTTTGTTCAAGGAAACAAACAGATAGAAACGAAATTACTATTATCTTGATCATGGCTATGTTTGCTCATAAAAGGCCCATAACATGGGCAAATAATATTTAGGTGATTAATAAAAGCGCTTGAATTGGTCCAAAATAAATGGTTTACTTGCCCCGGGATATAAATTTCATAACCCAAATCAGCATTTAAAGTTGGAGGTGCATGTGTGAAATGCTCGGGGGCACATATTTCATGTGCTTCACGCAGGGCTGACTCACACAGTGTTCTAACAGTTGAGTTCCTGAATATATCTTTCAGAATACCTTTAACAAAACCTGGGTTTTTTTAGCATTTTAGGTGCTATAAATGTTGGACATGGTTTAATTATGTTAGACCACTCGGACCCCAGTGTCTAATCGTTGAAATGGTTGATTAAACAACTCGGCCCTGCACACCTCGTGGTCTAAATAACCATTTCAACTATTAGACACTGGGTCCGAGTGGTCTAACCTATACTTCTACTAATGTATATTCAATTCAGTTGTCTTTTTCCATTTTAAACTAAACACATTTGATTCCCATAAGCATGGTTATCTTAAAGTTCAATGAACAAAACAAAACTGAAGTATTGAATATAAAGCAGGCAGGGTATATGGAAATATGGATTAATTATGAACATACATGATCATGATGATATAACATATATATACGATGTCAGATGTCAACTTTGAGATAAGAAACTTTTTGAGTTTGATGATGGTAAATTCATCAGGGTGTTACTGTATATGGTATAGCAATTGCCAGTAGATGATGAAAATAAATTATATTTTTCAGTTGCTGGGATTAAAATAACTGTTTCTTGTTTTTCAAGGGACATCAGTGTAGTTGTTGATGTGTTCACTCGCATTAGGGGAAGGAAGACCACCCAGTGTCTAACCAATTCTCAGAGTTCACTGACCATTGCCCTGATTTGGCTCAATACTGCTAAAAATGACATAAAACCCACTCACTTGCTTACTCTTTTGTTGCTTTTGTTTAAGATAGTGGTATGAGGTCCTCTTGCTGATTCAAAACTCTACTACACGCAAATTGGTTGATTTGTTCCGATATAATGAATTATTGGGTGCAAGTTTGTCAGTGGAACTGTTCTGACAGTTTTACAGCCTTACATCTTTTATATGTTTTGTGTTTGCAAGTTATATACATGTTTGCCTAGTTACTGACATTAACATCCTGCTGGGAAAGAAATTGGGTGTTTTCTTTGCGTCTGTAATATATCAAAGAAGCTTTCAGCAATCAATCTGTCATCTCATCACATTTTGTGATATTGTTTTGTTTGCTTGGACATAGGTACAAGATGTGATCTTTTCTCCATCAAGCACTAAAGAATACTCCAGCATGTTATTTTGATTGTCAATTGTCAATTTGGCAAAGAGTTAAAATTCACTTACGTTTTATGTCTTGTGCCATCACAAGCTGAAGAATAGGACAAAATCTTAAACAAGACATGTTTTGGACAGTGTTACAAATTGTTTGGGGCAACATAAGATAAAGTGAATCAGTGACTTTGCTGAAGATAAATGTCATTACAACATTTTTGTAATTTTAGCAAATTATGATTGGACAGTCTTTCTGTACCATTCCCATAAATGAAAAATATCTTGTGGACATTTTGGATGATTATCAATAAATGTCATAGAAAATGAACAAAACTGAAACCTTGAGTTAATCAATACAGTTGTAAGAAATCTGTAACTAATTCTCTCCATAGCACTGGCTACATTAACTTCAACAACTGATTTGTATATGTGGTCACTCTGTTGAATGGCTTAAGTGAAATTGGTGTATTAATGTACATGATGAATGTCATGGATATGTTCGTTCTTTTGCTTTTGCAATCACAAGTGATGTGTCAAATCCATTGACTTGTAGTAAATCAGTAATGGTCATTAATGAGGGTCTATGGTATAAAAGAACATTTGAAACATATTGAAAGCATGTATTTTCATAGGCGTATCCAGTATTTTGAGAAAAGGGATGCACATAATGCCTAAATCACAGTTAATATGTTAGGAATCTTAAAGAAAGGTGGTGCTCTTCTGGATCTGCCAGTGATTGTGTAGCAGTGTCTAAATTATGATAGTTACTAAAAGCAAATGGATGATGTACAGTAAACTACGGTTATAACGAATACGCTTATAACAAACTACGGTTATAACGAACGAAAATTAGTAGTCCTTTTGAGTTTGTTATAACCGTAGTTTACTGTATGTTGGTATTAAAGGGATGAGTCAAAATCTTAAGAGCTGGTTGTGTGTAACAATGTGGATTTTGAAACAATATGTATGACAGAAATTAAGATATGAATAAAAAAGGCTATGTATATAAGTATGACCAAGTGAATGCGTAGAATAATAACAGCAAGCAATGACTGCATTCTATGCTATGTGTTAAATGTTTGAGTTGACTCCATTAAGGGATATTGAAAGTTGGAGAGTAGTATAAGTAGGAGATCAATTGTATTTTTTAAATATACAGTGTTCACTTGGGGTTGTTCATTAATCGTATGTAGAAATTGGCAATAACAATCTCAACTATTCAGGGCCAGAGTCATAAGTGAAACTCAGGTATTGTACTTACAACAGTCATAGCTTTTGCTTTGTGATGGAGGACCAAGGCTTTTGTAAGCATCCAAGAATAAGTTTGACCACTTCATGCTGCTCTATGCTTAACATATCACATTGTTATGTACTAATTATGCTTGTACCTGTAGAATTAGTTTAGTATCATGTAAAAGTTACCATCATGTGGGCTAGTGCTCTGTTGTATCACTCAGACTGTAGTACTGTATATCAAGTGACCTTTAATTGGAAGTAGTCAGAACCATAACATATTTCCAAAAGCATGATCAGTTTCTTCTTGATAACAGCAATGTTTTTTTTTCAAGAACACTGATGATATTACTGATGCAGCAAACAAGAAATAATATCATGGTTATTGTTCCTGTTACTTTAGACAGTTTGGTTTGCTAATCTAGACTATTAGAGTAATGTAAATACACAATCTTATTTATATTACCTTCATGGTGAAATACTTTTGGAAACTTGCTGTATATAACATATACCTGGAAGGGAATGATATCATAAAACATTATATCCTTACAGCTTAGGTTCACGTAGAGGTTAAGCAGGCAACAGTCAAAGTTTGAGGTAACCAGAACTTTGAGGTAGAGGAGTTCCTCGCTTGGACTTCAGTGAGATAACCATGTTCAGTCGGATACGGCGTGTTATTTTTGTGTTTCAGACTTGACTCACACTGAGGCACCATCGGTTGCTGCTTCAGACTATTCCTTTGATTCGGACGACCATCGGGAGCTTCTTTTTCTTCAACAGACCAATTCACACTATGGTCGAATACGCTCAGACCCTTTCACTGGAGAATGTATTGATGAGTATGATCAGGATATTATCAATGATGACAGTGGAGATGACAGTCTCTCTGGATCAACTGACCTCTCCATTGACCCAGCTTGCATGGTGGTGTCTACTTCATCTAAAGCTTACTCTGGGGTGTCTCGGTATCGCGACTTCATCCGGTTGTTGCCTGTACATCTGTCTAAGTATATTCTGAGCCTTTTAGACAGACCGACACAACAGAACGCACTCTGTGTGAGCCAGAACTGGAGGGTTCTGATCCAGGAAGTTCACAAGGAGTTCTATGTCAATCAACAGCTCTGGGAGGAGGTCATGTTGATGCAGGTAAATTAAAGGAAAATCACTGGTAACAACCAAAAACTGGCAAAAATTTAAAGATTGATGTCTCGTTCAAAAAAGCAATTGATTTATTTGTTCCAAATACTTTTGAGACTACTAGCCCAAACATGGATCTTGGCATAATTTTCAGTTGAATGTAGTGTTAGGGACCAGTTCAAAGGTTGGATGTCAGATAAAATGGTGAATTCCTTAAGTTTTGAGACATACCCCCTACCTCCTTAAAAATTAATTCTGAAAATGTTGAACTCCTGAGTAGAGTGACCTCTTTTGGTACATATTCTCATGTGTTACCCTGCTTTTTCAGGACGATAATCCATTAAAGTTTATTTACTGGGTGTTGAAAATCATCTGAAGGGTTTTTACAGATCAAATCTGCCATTCTGTATTACACACTGCACTAGAAGGACTCACCACTAGTGCTGGCAATTACAAAACCCTAACTCCTTGATAGACCAGATGTATTTAATGACTCCTAACAGCATGTGAATATAAATGGGATAGGTGAAAAGGGATCAGAGAGTTTGCTCAGTTTAGTTACTATATTAATGATTGAGTCATCAGGTAAGTTGATTTTATCGGATGAAAAACTTGCGGGGCCATTGCTTCACAAACCCCTAAACTTAATGAATTATGATTTTTATGCAACATCAAACTTTTGAACTGGTCCCTTATTATGTGAATTATTATAAGTTGCGATTACTATATTAGACCGAACAAATTTTATTAGACTGTGGCTTTGGACTAGTGGATAGAGTTGCAGACTGAGATTGTAAATGACAACAGAAAATTAACACATTAAGCACTATTTCTCAGTATCCTTTATGTAAATGACAATGAAAAGAAATACCAAATTTGTGAAAAGGAACTTTATGTACTAGGAATCTTTGCAGCAGTAACAGGCCTTGAAACGTTGTCCATCTTATCAAGCATGTTATAATTATGAGCAGTTTTATTGTCCCCCATAACTTTTGTATTATTGACTAACTGAATTGAAAAATAATCTGTCCCAGATGTCATGGCTGTTGCATTTGAACTGAAAGCAACCGAGATATCGATAATATCTATAACTGGTATGTTAATTGGAACAAGTTCCACTCACAGCAATCAGAGTGTATATTTTCATGGGTCAATTCAGACATTAGTCCACAAATTCAAGACAGGTCGAAAGTTATTAGGACTAGTGACTAGTTTTCTGCCAAAATGTACCAATGTACAATGATCAGTGTTAGATTTAAGAAGGCTCCCAGGATTGTTGAGGCTTTATGTTGCAGTGTTAAATAATCAATGGACCTGTTAGATCTTTAAGTTTAATCATGAAGGACCGCTCAACTTTCATTCTAACAGTGGTGAAAGTGTTAGATTTAGAAAGCTCCATTGGGGTGTCTGCCCAAAAACTTTCACTCATATTCCTATGTATCATTGTACAGTGTATACTAGAGATACTAAAAATATGGTTATGACTTGTTTTGAGTTATTTTATATGTTTTTTAATCACTAACAAAAGTATTGTCACAACAACGTGACATATAAGAGTATTCAGTCAAGGGATGAATTATTACCATTCCAACCATGGTCATTTTTAAAAATCAAGAAATTGTTTTAATGCTGGTATTTAATCCCAGATTGAGTTTCTACTTCCTTGGCCCCAAGAATTCAATATCATTATGAAGATAAGTATGTAATGAATATATTCCTTAAATCAATGGTAATGAATGGTTCATATTCTTCAAATATTTCTTCATTTTAAGATGTATTTAATAGAAATATTTAAAACATATCAGCAAACACTCTTGTTAACATATATCAGCAATATATACAATGTATGGTTGTAATGTATTTCAAACACAAAAATAGAATAAAAAGGGTTTCTATCAACACCAAAATGTTCCACATTCAAAATGGGTTGAATAGCCTGGCAGTTTTTCTAAGCAGAGCAAGTGTTATGTCCTGTGACATAGCAGTGTTGTGAATGTGGCCAGAAGCTGTTTAGATCAAACAAGCAGGTGTAGCCATGCCATCAACAACTGCCTTTATATCTTGAGGGGAAGTCACCTGATTTAACTACATAACTGTAATATGTGTAGCCCGAAATAATCTTCAATCTGGTAAGATATCAGAAATATTTATTGTTTAGCAAAAGACCCTCCAGGAGGTAGGTTATTATGCTATTTCAATCTGTATTTACTGTTAGTTACAATATTCCGTTAAAGCATTAGCATCATATTATGGTAATAATTGACTATTCAAATTACTGCTGACCCTGTAAGCCTCTGCGTCATACCTGAATGGCTGTTGTTGTTTAGGGGTACAAAAATCTCATGGTGCTAGCTTACAAAGCCATTTTGTGTGCAGAGGTATTATTTGTGTCCCAGGGAAAAGAGCAGCTGAAGGGCTTTATAATGTCTTTACAGTGGGCTTGTCATGGCGTCCCATAAATCAGAACTGAATTGACAAGTATTACTTTCTCAGCAGCACAAATAATTCACTGGTGTTCTTAGAACTTTACTAATAATTTTGGTAACAAAAGACCGCTATGCTTGTAATAATTCTGATGAAATGGTTTTTGATAAATTGAATAAAATGAACCTAATAAGCTCTCTTTATGAAGGTACTATTGTATTAAGATCCTATATGTGGTTTTGTTTGTTTTATTCATGGATTTCTTATGAGCTAAACAGTAATTGCAACTGATCATGCTGATATGAATCTATTTTGCTCCGAATATATAGCCTTGGTTGTATTGTCCACTATATATTGAAAGTTCAGGTTGGTTCATAGCAGTCTTTCATACTGTTGTCAATCCACATTTGATAAGAGCATTGAGATTGCAATAGAACCTTTTTATCCCTTTTTCAATGGCAATTGAATAAGGATATTATTTTCTAATCTTGAAATAAATTACTTTTGAATATGTGGTGGAAAGGCTCCAGAGGATTTCTTATGTGATTAATATGTTTTCGATGATGCATACTTTGTTAGAAATCATTAGTGTCTTGTTTAAGAAACTAATTGTAAGTCACATCAGGTAGTACTAATGGAGTAATCCATATCAGATAGTCAGCATCCATGGCTAATTGATGCCAGGATTACCTGAAGTGAATGTTATCAGGCTCGACTAATCCCTAAGCACTGGTTTCTTAGGAACAACAGCAGCCCTGAAATAAACAGCAAATCCTGTTTGGATTATGAGGGAAATTATGCAGGCTCGTTATATTGATCAAGGTAGAACTCACCCACACAGAAAATGTCAAGTGGATTTAATATCCCTCACCACCTCTTGTGTGGCTACTGACTAAGGCTATTTATTCCATATGTTCATGGGAAGAATTTAAATCATAGGATTACATGGATTGTGAATAATTGTGGCTTTGTGCAGGCTTATACAGGTTACCCAGCAGGCAGTTACAGTGTTCTTATGTGTACAATCTGGGCTGAGGATTAGCTGGATCATTATGGCATAATAAGCATTTTGATCAAGATTCTTAAAGTATATATATGACACTGGACTAGTTTAGTGGCTCTCAGCTGTCACAGTGTTTTATGTTGACTCTGTGAGTAAAACGCTGGATTGCTCATTCACTTTAAATTGTATCTAATTCTATTATAAGAGGGTTTCAAGAAAAATGGAAACTTTGTGCTTTGTTGTCGGATTGGGTTGACACAATCTTTATATCAGGAAAATAATAAAATACATATGGGACATTAAACCTGAATCACTCACTCATGCACTAATGATTGTTCTGACATAATACTACAGGTACTGATAAAAACCTATGCCGCACATATTGACAATATTATGATGTGCTAAAATGTAGGGAAGTGCTCACAATGACATCCATATGTGTTTATTTTAATGCATTTCTCACATCTGTCTAACAATCTTTATTTATATATTTGTAGGACTCAGATCCATGGTAGGACTCTGATCTGTTGCGCATATCCAGATCTATGACAGATTATCATATAGTATTAATAATTGTCAATTGTTATAGCGTTATTCATCGTATAGATTCATTTAAGGGCAAACTTTTGATGATTAATGTTGTGATTTCTTTTGATTATTTTAATCATTTCCCCTTTGGAACAGCATCATCGGTGCAGGTAATGCATATCAGTACTTTTCTTTTAAACATTTCCGAAAGTTTCATCGTAGAAATAAATTTATAAGACCTTCTGCACCATCCTCTCATTTGACGGAGTTGATAAAATCCTGAATATTTGCACACTTCCCCACTTCAGACTAAGAGCATTTACACAAGGAACTTCTTGTATTTTGAAAAATCATTTGAAAAGGATTTGGCATTAGGGTCTTTCGATACTGGTTTCTTCCTCTGCCTGCATGAATCTGCCATAAGAAAACCTTCATTTTCTATGATGTTCAGCACCCTCATTTTCGACTGATCGCTGTATCTTTCTGTAATAGACGTTAAACTTACATGACATCATCACAGGCAAGGAGTCGTGACGTCGTCTCAAGAATGACATCATACAACAACTGAACTGATTGTCCATTCATGAATAAGACATCATTGCAAACATGACGTCACATAACAATGAGAGTCTGTCCCACCATAAATCTGAGTCCGACATATTTACACTGTGAACTGTTCATGGTGTTTGTGTCTGTTATTTTCATGATTCTCATGACCTTCAAACCAGAGTTTCTGAAACACCAAAGTCATTTCAATGACTTTACCCATGTACATTCTTGATGTAACTGTACCCAGAAGTAACATATGAATGTGTTGGCGTGTAGGGGTGTGTACCGATAAGGCCGCCATTGCAGGTGTCACGTTCCTCCTGATAGCACACTCAACGCAGGTGCAGTCTTCCGCTCACTGAACACAACCTGCGGGCTGTTTGTCATGCAAGCACTTGCCAGGACAGGGACACACTTGGTTCTTAATTACATCAATAATGGAATAATGTTTCATCTCTGTCAAACTGTTTCACAAGTAACAGATAAGTAGGCAGGGGTAGCGGTTTGGGCGTGGCAGGGCTGTGGCAGTATTTACTGGGGGTAAAATAGAGGCTGATCTGACACATATCTCATGTTTTTGTGATGATCATAACTACTTGTATTGCCATAGAAAATGCATGGCTATTACTGTTGACCATCATATCAGATGTGTTTGTTTAAAAGTACATAATATCTAATATATATATGCATATATATACATATATTGGGCCAGTATATATATATATATTGGGCCAGTATATATATATATACTGGTTATTGCACTGTCCTTTGAAAACTTTTTCGTTATATCATAACTCATATTATATACTTTAGTCACATTCTGACTGAAATATTGCTGATGTGAGTTTTCAATCAATCAATCAATCAATCAATCAATCACAACCAACCAGCCGTAACCAACTATCCTTAGCCAACCTATTTGTATTGTTTTATATCAATGAATCATTAATAACCAGCCAGTTTGTCAATCAATCAATCAATCAATCAAGCGTAATCGATCAATCAATCAATCAATCAATAATGGCATACTTTTGTCTCATATATTGTGTGTGTTGCAGGGTCCTGAAGGATTTGGGTTGTATTTTATTGACCCCTAAACTGTCTATTCTACATAGCACCAATGAGAAGGACGTCATGGGTTCCTCCCTAATTTGTAACACTGCATGTGTAATTACAGCCCAATTTCTTTCAGTAAAGTAGACACAGCTGACAATGGTCCACACATTCAGTAATTACTTAAACCTACTGAAAGACAAGTTGAAGCTTGTAGACTCAAATGTTTGAGCTGTCACAGGCTTTAATGGATGTTTGAATGAATAGGCATCCTTTAAAGAAGCACTTACCACATTTAGTAGAATACAGTGACTTACAAAACTAATGAATAACATTCAACTCTGACTCAACTCTTTGAAAATACTTCAAATCTTAAATTTATGTCTAATCAAGGATACATTAATGGGCTTTGAATAAAGTTTCTTTAAATAAAAATGTCAGGATTGGTGATATATACGTGTAAGCTATGATGAAAAAAGTAATGAACATGCCAGTTTTACCATGTTAACAGTGTCACCAGTACATTAATAAAACAATAAACCATTCTTCAGAATGTGTTGTTTAGATAAGTTGTTGCCAAGTTTTGTATGTCAAGTGTTCTCATGGAAAGATCACTAACTGTTTTCCCACCATTGATTTTGCCATGCTGGTACAGAAAGTCAATTCCTGACGTAATCAAATAGTCATTATATTGATCTGCTTTATACAACACTACAGTATCAGGTATCTTCAACTCCCAAGGTAATAGCAGATACAGATGATGAGTGTGGCAGCAAGCCGGTGGACTGAAGTCTGTTGACTGGCCTTATCCAGCATTGACCTGACTTCAACCCATATTGAGCTAAATGACATTGTCAAATGTATAATGGATTATTGCAGTCCTTCCACAGCCTAGATTTAAACGAGATCCCTGCTCACACTGGCCTGATACCTGACATCACAGGACTATCAGGGTGTATCACACTGTATTGTGGGACTAATTCCTCCTTGCATGGGCTGCTTGACAGGCTCTGTACATGATACTGTTTCTATGCAGTGGTCGCCCATAGAATTCAGATGCAATCAAAAGATTGTCAATATTCATACAAGCTGACACACTAGGTGATAAAATGTGAATTACGGTGTTGGTGTTTGTGGTGTAGGATGACTAAGCATGGTGTTGCTATTGACGCTGCTAGTGTCTTATCTGTCGTGTGCTATCACTGAACTGAAACGTGATGATAAACCAGTCAGTTCAGTTACTTATTATAGAATGTACTTGTACATATATACAATAACAAACAATTATTAAAAGTTTTAATGAGTTTTAATTTGAAATTGGCACTAGTCTTATAGTCCTTGCCAAACTGCCCAATCATTAAGGTATCATAAAGACTTATAGAAATTTGCCCTTTTAAAGGGCTTTGCTATAATTATGTTATCATTATGAGGACTAGTGGACTAAACCTTTAAGTTCTATTGCTGTGCAGTATTTTTGTCTTTTAAATAACACCTATACAGTTTGTAAGTTTAGAAAAGAATATGAAACATAAATTACAGTCTTGTGTTTTGACAACATATATGAACTATCAAATTGAGTATGTCAGTTTGAGAATATTACATGCCACTAGGGCTGCAATGAATACACTATGAGGCAAATACGATTCGTATCACGAATATAGGGTAATGAATACAAATATTAATTCACATATACAATAACTAGTCAGCAGTTGATGTGCTGGTAATATTTGTCATATTCTGTGAAACATTAACAACATAAATCATTTGACATGGTTTGTTAATTATTAATATATTATACACTTATACTGCACTTATCCAGGTACTAGTATCTGCTCAAATGCTACAGACCAGTGACCAAATTCCTGTCAAATTAAATATGATAGTAGTGTTTTCATTGAAGAAATCTATGCATATCATATGTTCTAATGGATGTTTTTAGGTACAGGGTATGTGAATGCACATGATTGCATATTCATAAATATTCAATTCTAGTGGCCACGAATAACGAATTCAGTTCCTGAATGGATACAGTTCGATTCACCGTAACCATGAGTCATTATGGCCCTACTTGCCACACAGTAGTGGTCAGTGGAGTAAGGTTAGAGACTAGTGAAAAGGACTTGATGCTTTCCCCCCAACTCAAATTAGGTTATATAAACCACTAGTCTGAAAAGAACTGCAGATAAGTTGACTTGATGTTGTGGTATTGTAGTGAGTGAGTGAGTTGGGTTTAACGACGCTTTTAACAGTATTCCAGTTATATCGCGGCGTGTAAGCTTAATGTGGGAGGAAAGCCCGAAGTGATGCAGGTCTCGGACGTTTACCACTTCGGTGAAACCCACAAGCATGGGTATGGTGCTGACAACCTAGAAACATAATCAGGGCGAACAAGGATTCGAACCCACAATCATAGGTTTCTAGCGTGCCCAAGGGACGCAACTCTGCACAGCGAATCGCGGCGCCTTAGACGACTGGGCCACCCGTGCCCCTGTGGTATTGTAACCCAGTGCAGCACATTTAGGAAAAAGAAGAAATCATGTAATATGTAAACAATACTGAGTTGTAGCTTATTTTGACAGTAAGTAGATATTTGATCAAATATGGCTTGGCTAGTGTGTGGTTATAGCTATCTTTGCCATCAGGCCGCTGGTTCAGCCCTGAGGTATTTCTGAGTGTCCTCCTGTTTTCAGGGAGCAGCAGCACAAGGCGTGAACTCCGTCTATGCCAATGATGTGGATGTGATAGTTCCCCGGATTGACACCGACACCAACGATGTCATCCTCACTGATGGTGCTGTCATCAAGACGATGTTCAAGAGTGAGATCAACTTCAACACCGCGTACAGCGGCCTGGCCACCATGAAGGTCATCATGGAGGAGAGGAATGTCTACTGTGGAGCCTACAACGTCATGGTGATCTGCGACCAGTAGGTTACTCATTATCAGGGTCTAGTTTTGCAAGGGTCAAAACATATTTCCGTAACATGGGGTGATATATATCTCATATAACTCCTTTGGTATAGTTATTGTTGAAGGAAGTAAGTTTAGGGTGAACTTTGAACATTTTCTCCACATCAGATCTAATCTGAGTTATTTCAGGGCTTTTGGTTGACAGCTACAGCATTAGCATGTTTAATCACCCCATTAGCCACATAACTGGTGTTTTCCTGGACAAGGTGCTTGTCACTTACGGTTATGTGTACATAGACAGCTCTGCTGTTAAAGAACTAGGCGACCAATACGTAGGGCTGTAGTTATATAGACTGTCACGATACGATGCATGTCTGTCATACTTGGTGAGGAATGTCCTGACACTTGTTATGTTAAGTAGCAGTATTTAGTCATTAAGGGGAATAAATAGATGCCCCGAAGAAACATGTTAAGTTAAACATGACAATGGATTGAGATCTTTTGTAAATTCTCAAAATGAGTATTTTACATTTCATTTTTATATAATTTTTTAGGTCACCCTAATATATACTTGTAACATTTTGTTTTGACACAGCTTTTCCGCTATCATGGCATGAAGTATCATGATGTGTCTTGTTTCCCCTCTACCTGAGATCTATAGGACATGAACCTTGTTTAATGATGCCATGGTTCGTTCCTTCAGGGAGGACATCCACCGAGTGATGCACACTGATGGAGGACAGACAATAGCCCTGGGGTCCAAGGACCGCAAGGTTCGCTTCATTGACTGTGAGTCTGGGAAAGAGAAGGGGCCAGTGATCACAGGTCATGCTGGATCCGTCCGTTGTACCTACCTCTGTGAGAAGAAGGGCATCGTGCTGAGTGGAAGCTACGACACCAGTGTCAGGTAGGTAGTAGAGATGTAGTGAGTTGTGCCTTGTGGAACTGTGGAGTCTTACCACAACAATGTTTTCAGATCTTTACACTTTAGTATAGTTTTATAGTCATATAATGTCAGTTCAGTTAGCTCTATGACGGCAGTCTATAAATAATCGAGTCTGGCCCAGACGATCCAGTGATTGATATTATGAGCATCAATCCACTCAATTGGGATACGATGAGAAGCATCTACCAAGTCAGCGAGTCTGACCACCCAATCCCAATTGTTGTCTCTTCCGATAAGCATAGTCACCTTTTGCAGCAAGTATAATAGGGTTGCTGAAGACCTATTCTAACCCCATATCTTCACGGGTTCACGATAAATAGGTTTCTGAATCAATCCAATAAGCTATTCATCCACAATTGGTTATTTTTATTAAAAACATGAAAATTGTTTTGTTCAACCATTTTATGCAGGACAGACTTGAATTCAGTTTGACATGGACTTGAGCATAATTCTCATTGATCAAAATCTAAGTATTGGGCATTTTCAAGAGTTCACTGTTGAAAAATTATGGAGAGTTAGATAAATTCAGAAATGGGTGTTTTCCAGAAAGTACAATATATAAATCTCATATAGCAGGTTTTGTTGAAGGGCTTAATCATTACGTGTCTCTTTGCCATTGCTCTGTATTTATGATGGATTGCAGTCACATTCATTATGCGCTGCCATTATCAATAATTTATTTCAGTATAATATATTGATTGATACCCAATAACCTCACTCCCGCCAAAATGATCAATCAACTTAATATGTGCTAGTTTCTTGTGCACACCATCTCTAGTCAGAACGGAGTACTTTAAAAATTATGTTTTACATAATTTCCATGAACAATATTACTTTTCCAATATTACAATAGCTTTCCTAAAATACTTGTAGCCAAGATGGATGGATTTTTAAATAAGATGAATACGGTTCTTTTAATTAGTGTTTTGTTTTGCTGAAGTAGCTTTTGTTTTCAGGTGCTGGTCTATTGAAACTGGGCAGTGTCTAAAGATATTCCGAGGTCACCGAGACACTGTTGTGACAATTATTGTACATGGAGAGACTCTAGCAACGGGGTCCAAAGATTCCTCCTGCAAGGGTCAGTATTAGAATGAGTAATAAAATGACCAAAATCATTTTTGAATCTGAAATAACAGATTCAAAACAATTCCTAACATAATTAATTTGCACATCATCTCATACAATATTTGGGGGATTACAATGAAAGAAATCTTGGGCCACCCTGTCAGCCATACCTCTTAATCCACTTTCATTCAATTTCAACTTTGAAAATGATCGAATTAATGAATTTTCACACTGGTATTAAATATAATTACTTAATAGACTTAATAACTGAAACTCTAAAGCTCAGGTTAAGGATTATTTTCAAAATATCTCAAATAATAAATCCCAATATTTGCTATACCAACTTAAAGGTTTATAAATCAACATGTTATTTTCTTACCACTTCACACCTAAATCTTACCTTATATCATATATTTTTCGGAGAACATGATAGTATTTTTATGTAATGAATCAAGAATCAAGAAGATAATGTGTAATGTGTTTAAAAATCTGTTCCTTTCAGTATGGAACCTACAGACAGGAAAATGTTTGCGAACCTTCCGCCACCGCCACCCTGTTCTAGCTGTAGCGCTGTCTAAGGATCGTTGTATCTCAGGGTGTGAGTCAGGCAGAGTTAAAGTGTGGAATGTCGAGTCAGGGGAACTCATTAAGGTGAGAAGCTATACCAGCTTGAGAATTGAAGCTGCAGTGTATTATTGTAGTAGAAGTAGAAGCATCGTGCTGATGTTGGTCCAGTGTATAGTTTCTTGTTTGTTGTTTAACGCCTACCCAGCAATATTCCAGCTATATGAAGTCAGTCTGTAAATAGTCAAGTCTGGGCTAGACAATCCAGTGATTGATATCATGATAGTCAATTGGTTGTTTGACATGCATTAACCAAGTCAGCCAGCCTGACCACCTGATCTCTTTAGTTGCCTCTGTTGACAAGCATGGATAGTTGAAGGCCAATTCTAAACCAGATGTTGATGGTGTGTATATTTCCTAATTAAGATGTGGGCAAATGTGTTTCATTACAATCTGTGCCCATAACTTGTGTGTCTACAAGCCTGAACGTGTCTCTTGATATCATTTTCTGTAGATCTTTAGCGTTAATATATTGACCATTATTAACAAAGCTTACTTGACCAAATGACATTTTACTAGACTTGGGGTACAGACTTGTGGCTACGTTGTTCATACAATGTTTGGCCCTTACTATATGAAGGTTCATACTCCAGTGAGCTCACACAAATTGAAAGTCAATTCTAATAATTTTTGGTATCACATTTTTTAGCTCGAAGGATGTACGCCTAGATCTATACACAATTTAATTTAGCATGTGTGACTTCATGTTTACACCGACAGCTAAACAACAACCAGCTGTATTGCGAAAAAAAAGTTCCTCAAAAAGAGAGGTGACATGAGCGTATGTATGCTCAACATGCTTTACAGGAAAATGTTGTTGTTTGTTTACAACAAATGTATTCACATAATATCATCATTGGGTGAGAAATGTCTGTTAAGAACTACCTCAGTAAGTCTGTCATAATGACAGCGCATTGTAATACGTTTACATCAAGTATAAACCCCGTGAAGATTCCGGGATAGAATAGGTCTTCAGCAACCCATGCTTGCCGTAAAAGATGACTATGCTTGTCGTAAAAGGCGACTAACGGGATCGGGTGGTCAGGCTCGCTGACTTGGTTGATGCATGTCATCGATCCCAATTGCGTGGATCAATGCTCATGATATTAATCACTGGATTGTCCGGTCCAGACTCCATTATTTACAGACCGCCGTCATATAGCTGGAATATTGCTGAGTGTGGTGTTAAACAACAAACCATACCAAAAAACATCAAGTATAAGACGTCAAAATGGCCAACAAGATGAACATGACGGGAGAGATTTCCGAAGTTGTTAATGAACCTGTGGCGGTTACATATGTTAGTCATCATTGGTCAATTGGCCAGTAATTGAAAGGTGATTATAAAGATGTGTCAAATAGATACTAAGGTACTTGTCATTGTCAGTCTACACACCGATCGAGTCGATACTACAATAGTAAACTTAAGATGTGTATTTCTATGTTTTGTTCACCAGGATGGGTCGTAGCGAGGACATTCATAAACAATCATGCAGTCAAACTCTGAGTATGCTAAAACACTGAGTTCAAGATTAAAGGGTCTAAATGATCAGAAACAATTCTTCTGTATATGTATTCGTGCTTGGGAATTTCCAGTAGTTCCCCCAGGAATGTGTAAGTTATCTGTCAGTGTTTACGTCAATTGAAGAATTTTTCTTGTGAAAAACTTATGAACTTCAATTTGTGTCGTTCATACCACTTATGAATGTCAATTTGGGGGTCATATGACCAACCTTTTGTCCAATGGAAAAGCTGTATACACAATGTATCAAGTAATCTTCACATTAAAAATTTATTCATGAATAAACTCGCTGTTTCTCAATTTCGTGAAACTTATAAGCACAGGTAGGGTGCCAAGCATCAAGGAAAATAACTGGATGAGATCTGGAAATTAAGCTCACTATGATCCAGCAGATCCTAGCAGCAGGTGGCCAAATCTATCTTGGTGTTCAAATTCAACCCAAGAAAATATGAACTGAAGTGTACTTTTTTTTATCCCAGAGATTATCAGGCCACCAGGGCCCAGTGACAGCCATCAAGTTTGACCGCTGGCATATTATCACAGGCAGTAAGGATGGCTATGCCTTGGCATGGAGTGCCTTGGGAAAACACTCTCGCTGTCTACAAGCTCTCAGACATCCCAAGTGAGTGAAGCAGTACATGTCTGGTCTGGCCATTTAGTGTGTAAGCAGCACTTTACTCTTCAAATGCTCGCATGTGGCTGGCTGCAATGGAACAAGGGAGATAACTCTTCTAGGACTGTCCTCAGACCTCTGGCTTGTTTGATCCAGTTCAGATTGCAACTGATCAGCAATGCATACTGTCACATATCTATATCTGTAGTCTTGTGACTGTTGGTGTCAGTTTGTGTTGAATTAATATCAAGACTCATGTTTAGAATAATGTTATATAAGAAAAATGTTTTTGTGTAAAATTCCAACATGGCATGATGATGATGACAATAATGATTTGACTTTTCCTAAAATGAATGTGCTTCTACCTTAAGACTAAATGTATGGAGACTTAATAACAAATGTCATGGACAAATAATTTGGAAGTATTCCTATGTGTTGCACACAGAAGTAACAATGTTGATTGCCATGTTTCCAGAGAGGTGCTCTGTCTGGAGTTCATGTACCTCCGTGTCATCACGGGATCAGCTGATGGCCGCCTCAGGATCTGGAATATCCGAACTGGTCAGTGTTGTCGCATCATGAGAGGCAACAGTCGCAGTGACCCAATCCACTCCATCATAGCTATGGGAGATAGGTAAGGCTGCAGCCTGTAACTGTTAAAGAAGTCTGATTAGGAACAACAGAATACCTAAAACAAATTTTCAAATGAAAATTATAAATATATGTTCTGTTTATTTATTAAAATGCACACTTTATCAAGTCTTATTTTATTTCAATGCAGCTTTTTGTTACCATACATTTTAGTCATCTATCCTTATTAGAATTTGACCATATTTGTGGTTTTGATTATTCATGATATCATTATGAATTAAAGTTACAAATCTTTAGTGAATTATTTTTACTGTTTCTCCTGATTGATTTATAGGTGTATTGTTTTCTTCCTTCAGTGCTGTTTATAATATTGAATAAAACTGGTAACTCCTAAAACATCTGTAATCTGTGGTTCTTAGTACAACATTTTGATCCCAACATATGTGACCCACCAGAGTAAAGGGTACCTTATGGATACTTGGATACAATTGTGCTGTGACTTCATAAAGAAAGACCTTTGACATTCACTTACTTCCATAAAAAAATCACCACATGTGCGGACTGTAATAATTATCTTATATTTCTCTCACTAGTTTGTAATGTAATTAAAACATATTTTCAAAGCATTTCAGCATACATTTCAACTAGTCAGACATTATATCTAAAAACTGAAATTATTACATGAACAGTCATGGGCAGAAAAATATATTGTATTTTTATGGTCCTACGATACTGTACTTTTAAAATAAAATAAGAAGTCAAAATGTGATTGTTCACCCATAAGGTCCCTCATCTCATGGTTGGTCACACATGTCCTCAATGGTTGCTTTCCTATATATGCCTTCATTTGATGCTTATGATATGCAGGCAATGTCACATCCCCTTACTTTAGCATGAACAATTTGTTGCTTTTAGGATCACCCTGAACACTCACAACAACCTGCTTGTACTGAACTTTGAGAAGGTTGACTGGGACTACAGCCTGGAGACAGACAAGGTGCCCTCCATGGTGCAGTACAGTTCCTACTCCGACTCCCCGGTCAGACAGCAGCCCTACTCCTACATCCGGGCCCAGAGGATGAAGGTGGCAGGAGCGGCCAACAAGAAGATCATCAACCATGATGGCAAGCTGGATGAGCCACTGAGGTACACACCCCAGATGCAGACCTCATTTCGTGCTCCTCAGATACCTCACAGCGCTAAGACACTCAGTACTCACTCTCTGTCTGAGGCGAGGATGATCCAGTTCAGTAGGGGAACATCTGGTCTGGAGAGTCATGAGTGGGCACCGTTAGGTCCAGGTTTTGCCACTGAATCGCGTATCACCTTTCAAACTGACCATGGTCAGACCCTGTCACCTCCCAACAGCCCCTTTAAGAAACCGCCTCTGTCACCTCAAGCTCAGTCGTCAGCTCAGTCTCGGACCCGGCCAGGAACATCCAAGTCGGGCAAGGGACAGCCCACTGTTACTATTTTAGAGCAGAAGCCAGACCATATGGATGAAGACGATGTGCCGACGGAACCTCCTGTTATACATCGCAGAGTCTCATGGGCATTTGATAAACCTCTCAATAACAAATCAAAAGATTTTAGTTTGTCTGAAATGAAGTCTTTGCTTCGATCTCAAATTAGAATGAGAGCTGAAAGTGTAGTTCCTCCAGACTTTATATATTTGACTGTAAATACAATTCAGAACTCCATGAAACCGAGTGAAACAAGCAGTAACACTCGGAATAATATGAGAGATATTGAAGTTGTTCCCTACACCCAAAAGCAACGCCCATCGTCCTCCCCTGGAAAGATCGATCCCAGGACTAAAGTACCTATTGAAGAACTTGGTCTGGAACAGTTCATTCCTGTAGGACAAGGGGAAACAATATCTGACTACTCGGATCTTAGATCTGTGCGTTCACTCCGAACCAAGGAACAACCAAAGCCTCCACCAATACCACCGAAAGAGTCCATCGCAACTCATTGTGTATCCACTCCCATCAACCCATCTCGACACATGAGCATCCATCCTAAGAGGATCAAGTCAACACTGCCCCGAGGTAGGGTCATCCGACCAATATCTGCTGCAGTAATGCAGAGGACATCAGCTCATCAACCTCGCAGAGAACCCAAGTCCCAGCGTCCCGTGACAGCCCCAAATTTGACCCGCCCCATCACCTCGACGTCCATCCCTCCCAGCATTGCAACAGCACTGCCAGGAGCACCAGTCCACCGCCCTAAGTCACGTGGGCTGTCGTCCTCACAACACACAGCCAATGTAGTCCCAATGCTCATGTATTCCAAAGAGGTGAAGGACACTATAGAGATGTTCAAGCAAAGACAGAAGGACCGGGAACAGCTAATCCCTCGATCAGCAAGTGAGCCTAGTCTGGGAAAAGTCAGTCCATTTAATGATCCTTTGAGAAGTCATGTCAGATTTGAGCTCCGCACACACAAACAAGAAAAAGAGTACATCAACGACATTGAGACCATGCATCGCGATCAGAGACAGCGGGAAGAGGATACACTGGAGAAAAAGAAGAGAGCAGCATGGTTGGCTAGGGTCAAGGGCAAAGAAGTCAAGGACATTCCAATGACTGTTAGTGTGCCAAAGTTAGACCTAAGCCAGTAGACACTTTATTTAATTGAAACTGTTTCACAAAAAGCATGACTTAGAGACAACCTGCCAGTTTAGAAAACAACAAAAACTTTAATAATTCCAATTCTACAGAGAACTCTTATAAATGATTACCAAGCTGATGATTTGTGTGTTGGACAGGTTTGTGTTTATTACTTGGTCCATTCCACCATCGCACTTAAGGAATCAAATTAGATCCTTCCATGTCTCTTGTCCGTTTCAATAATAACCAAACCTCCAATAGTACATCAATATTATGAACTCTTTTAATTTGTATTTTTACGAAGAAACATATTTCTTTCATTAAATCCTTTGTATTTCATTATAACTTAAGAAAGCGTGATAAGAAATTTGTTTTGCAATTTTACTTTCAAATTCCATTTTTCCTATTGTTTAAGGTTTTTAATTGCTAATAATTAAGAACATCTTTAAACATTCTTCACAACAAATCTTAAGGTTATTTTTGTTATAGTATAAAAACGTGGAAAAAAATGCTTTAAAATAGTTTTCCTGTGTAAAGTATGCCAGTGATTGGATATAAACTACTGTATCGAGTGTTGTATTGAAAGTGCCATTGTGATGCCTTTGAGAAGGGTTAGGGTTAAGTGATGATGTGTTAACTAACATATGAGTGTGATACATGTCTGTTGTACTTCATGCTATCTCAACAAACTCTCTGATGTATAGGAGTGACATGCGATCTTAAAGCTTACAAGTCACAGATACTCTCTAACACTTTGTCAGACATAACAGAAAAGGTATAGTAACTGTTGAAATGAGACTATTAACAGACCTGTTCATGTTTAGGCAAGCAGGACAAACTAGCTGTATTAACACTGTCCAATTGAAGTAAAATTAGAATGTGAAATTCATATACTTCTATGTATACGATAAAATCCACTCTAAAATCAATGGTTAAGGTAGGCATTATGATAATATGTTAGACCAATTTAATAACTTGTTTTACATTATTTTATACCAAAAATACCCAAATCCAGAATGGGATCAAATCAGTGACCTAATTATTACTGCATTGTGCCTCTCAGAATATTATCTTGTGTATAAGACACATATAGCTTTCTCTGCTGAACGATTGTGGGGGCATTGTATCCTTTCTCCTCATGTTGAGTATTTACTGAACCAAGCAAGAAACGACAGTCACAATTTCCCCACTGTAGGTTTGGAGATATAGGTTACTCGACACAGTTATTCCCCATTACAGATTTACTTGTATATTCTGCTGAGGGGAAGACCTATAAAACAAGTGATAAAAAATTTCTTGCAGTAGTTACAATTTTGGTGTGATGCTGAATGTTAAACATATAAAGCCATATTAGAACTTATATAATCACCAAGAAGCCTATTTGCCAGTGAAATTTCCAAGATATCAGACTTCCAACACCTGACAGAATGTGTTTTATAAGATTATACACTAGGTTGTAAACAAACAAAACAAATTAGGAAGAATATTTACTCACAGGTTAGCCTTCAACATTTGCCAGTTTATTCATTGTTTGTTGTTTGCAAGAGTTTGTATTTTATTAACAAATGTGTTGTACATATAAGCTATGTAATGCCAGTTAGTGCTACGTGTGTCTCAGCAGCAGCCGTTTGAGGTCTCTATTCCATGTATTCCCAAAGTCATATTACTCTGTACAGTGAAACCCTGCTCATCCAGACAGCACTGTTCCCAGTTAAAAGATTCAGGTACTAGTATATAGATCCCCCAATTAATTATGTGAGATGAAATGGGGCTTAAGAAAGCGTTCAAGTATATTGCACTTATATAGCAAAATTATGTATGCACCTGCATACATGTGTGTTTGTCAGTGTGTGTATGGCTGCTTGAACTAGTTCGGACAAATGCTGGTTTTATAGTGCTAGCCAACTGAGATACCATACCACATATGTAACATGAATACTCCACTCAGACACAGTATACGAGTCCTTGATTTATCCCCTTAGTGCTGAGCTCAAGGCAGGGTAACAAGAAGTACCATCTGTTAACGTCTTTTGGTATGACGTGGACTGGGATCAAACCCCCGACCTACTGGGCAGACGCTTGGTCAACGGAGGCGCTCAACAGTTAATGAATCCTGGGTATGGGTGTAAATCCCTTTATGTTTGTTCAGTACATACACAACAGAAGTTGTCTGGAATGCAGGGATTCTGGATTAACGAGGTCCTGACTATTGAGGTTTGACTGTAGTTGGCTGATTTGGTTCAGTGTGATTGTATACCCAAGTTACAATGTCAGTATTACATGTATTCATATATCTGTTTGTTTCAGTGTTGTGAAAAATTACTAAGTCTTGAAAATGATGCAATCTGGAGTTTTTCTTTTAACTGGATTGTGATAAAAAAATTGTCTATACACATACAAACTTTCCATATACATAAGTAACCTGTGTCTTCAATCTCAGAAAATATACATGTGCAGTGGAAAGATTATTTCTGTTGCTGTGAACTGATACAAATTTTATTTTCCGACATAAGACAGATTGAAAGTCATCTTCAAATCCTTCCAGATATTTCCATGTGTTTATGTACACTTTACTAGGTTTTCTATTTTTATATACCAAAGTCTGTGATATCTTGATTTATATTGGTCTGTTGGATGAAAAACAGAATAAAATAAATATCCCAAATATGTACTTCTTGGTCTTGTGCTTACCTACATTTATGAGGATTTCTTCAGCCATAGTTGTGATGGCATAAGGTTTTGGGTAAAAGTTGAATTTCATTCAATATTGTGCAGATTAATGGTAAAAATCATAAAGAATTCTTGTTCATTATCTGGCAGGACAAACACACAATAGCATATAACTTATAATGGCATTTCTCTTCTCTTATTTATACACTTATCATAAGACTTGTTCATCAAGTTATGATCTTGTAATCTGAACAATATCATTGCATGTAAGTTATTAAGTCAAGTTCAGGAGGCAGAAAATTGGATGATAGCATGAACCACAATCAACAGAATTTGGGTAGGATTGCAGTCAATCAACCAGTTCACATAGCAATATCTTTAGTTGTCGGTTTAGAAGGTTTAGTATCAATGGAGACAGTTCACTGTGAAGATCCAGGGTAGAATAGGTCTTCAGCAACCCATGCTTGCCCTAAGAGGTGACAAACAGGATCCGGTGGTCAGGCTTGCTGACTTGGATTCATGTCATTGTATCTCAGTTGATTAAATCTATGCTCATAATATCAATCACTGGATTGTCTGATCCAGAGTGGATCGCTGTCATATAGCTGGAATATTGCTGAGTGCAGCGCTAAACAACAAACAAGAACAAAAAAAACTTTGCCTGATCGTCATAAGTATGTGTGATTGTGTGTTTCTGTACTGTTGCAATATTCTAGCTACCGTATTTCCTCTATTAGACGCCTGGGATTCTATCTATTTCGGACAAGCCTTTGACCCGGCGTCAATTAGAGGCCCGGCGTCTATTGGAGGCCCGGCTTCTATTGATACCCCCATTTCACTATGACCACGAATGTCCCGAATCGTCAAGAAATGGAAATATTTTGTGTTCGTAGATATCCGAAGATATATCTCAAAGGGAGTCCTCATTATGTAATTTAGGTCCCAAAAAGGGATCATTAATTGTATCAATTGATCGACCCGGCGTCTATTAGAGGCCCGGCTTCTATTTTGCACTGAACAAATGACCCGGCTTCTATTAGAGGCCAGGCGTCTAATAGAGGAAATACGGTAAATGACAAGTCCTCATAAGTCGGCACTTATGATATGCATGCGGCACCCTGATAATCTTCTGACACAAATCTTCAGGTACAGGCCGTGGTGATTCCGGGTTTCACTAGGTCCACAGCAACCTATTCTGGTCGCAAGAGGCGCCCACGTGGATCGAGTGGCCCCACTCAGTGTCTTCGTTGATTGTGTCACCATACCCCAAGGGCGTGGATCGTTGTTCACAATATCAATGACTAAATTGTCTTGGTCTGACTCGATAACTCAAATCTCAATCCCGTATCCCCCATAAGCCCACCCCACCCCCTCCAGTGCCGTAGCCAGCCGGGGGGACAGGGTGGGCAGTTGCTCCCCCTGGATTTTTTTTATATAGAAAACAGTTTTATTTGAATCAAGTTTGGGACAAGTGATACCCCCCTGTCAAAAAAAAGTTAACTACGGCCTTGCCCACAAACACATATACAGCCGGAAGATCCCTACCCCTTTTTTTTGAAAGCCAAATTTAGTATGTTGTACTTGTAGACTGTCTATACAGTAGTATGTTGTAGGCAGAGAGTATATTTTGGACCCCTCCCTTTTAAAAATGCTGGATCCGCCCTTGACCAGAATACTATTTGATATGTTTTCAACAGATATAACACAACCAAACGCAATATGTTTTTTGCGAATTATTTGCATCACCTTGCATGTTGTATTTAAAATGCACCCCTTCTTTTTTCAAAAAAGTTGTTTCCGCGCCTTCTCTGAAAAAGAGAAACTCACATTCAGAAATATTGTTAAGATAACAGACAAATCTTTCATTTGAAAATATCGACTCAGATCAATCAATACGGAGGTGTACAATGAAGTTCGTTACAAGTAAAATTACAACGTTTCAGTTCATATGATCTAAGAACATCAACGAAATTTTTAAAAAATATATTTTGACCGCCGTATACATGCGGAAACTAGGCGTGTGTAAATGTCTATTAAACTGAGTCCATTGAATCATCCACTAATCTCGTGGTGGACGTGCGTTAAAACCCGAGCTTGTGACGAAAGGAGGTCATTGCACGTGCCAAGGAGACCAATCAACGCTTACACCGCTCGGATTGTAAACACAATGTTAAAGTATGGCCATTACCAACATTGTCGGGAAACAAGTCAGCTTGAGTGACAAGCGCCTGATAATTGCTCTGTTGACAACCGCCCAAGCTGTTATTTAAAAAAAAGACGAGCGGGTGATGCCAGCTCAAGTGTCACTTCCCTCCTATACTTAAGATATCAGCAGCGTTGTTCTGCATCAAACAGCTGCAGGTGATCTGTCAAATCAAGCTTGTAACATGCCCACAGGTAAGAACCGTTCACTACCAAAGTGCGAAATCTGAAATTTAGAAGCGCTCGTTATATCTGCAAAAAAATATCAAGAAGTTACATAAATTTTGGTGTTTAGAAGTAAGCGGAGAAAACCTTGATCAGCTTATTATAACAGGTGCATCTTAAGAAAACAGAATTGGTCATTTCCTCATTAAAAAACCCGGGCGTATACTGGTTGTATTGGAATGGAGGTTAGATGACATTTGAGAATAGAGGATATACTCTGAAGGATTTGTAATGCCTATTTTCTGACACGAACAGGATCGGATTTGGTCACATCAGTAGTGAATTTCAGAGTGTTGGTTCATTTTAACTATTTATCAGATGCTGGTCGTCACAGAGACGGGGTGGTCTGGTAGCCTGGTGGTTAAAGCGTTCGCTCGTCACGCTTAAGACCAGGGTTTGATTCCCGACATAGGTACAATGTGTGAAGCCCATTTCTACCGTGATATTGCTAAAAGCGGGGGACACCAGAAATGGGTGCTTCATATATTGTACCCATGTAGGGAATCGAACACGGTCTTCGGCGTAAATAGGGAGTAGTTACATTTCGCCCCTTGCTAAAAATGAAACAAACAAGAAATAGTTATTCGACGGTAAAATTAAGTTTGCAGTGTTTCGGCGTCTGTTTTCAGCCGAGTGGCGTTTTGATTTTATAGAAAATCCGTTTTCAAGTTTCATCCGTTTTTGTAGGACAAGCATAGTCGCCTGTTACAAAAAGTTTTTCTGTATGTAACCCGTTAAGATTCCAGGACCCTGTTCCACAAAGCGATCGTAGTGCTAAGACGATCGTAACTCCCATACTTTAACAGACTTACGACAGCTAAACGCTGCGATCGTTTTGTGGAGCGGGCTCAAGGACAGAATAAGTATATCATTCAATACTCCATGCAGGATGCCTCAGCGGCCTTGATATTGGAATAGTGTTTTTGGCGGAATACTTACAGTAAGATCGGGTGGTAATAATGTGTGAACTATCTGATTGTGTTTCATCGTACTATGACTGTTGATTGTTGTTCATCATGCTTTCAAGCACCGGTCTGCCCCAATTTTGACTCATGGGACACTTAGTCGTAATCGTTGCTGACTGTGGTATAAAACATGTGCTCTACCCGAAATGTAATGTAATGGAAATGATGTCCTTCGTCCAGACAGGATGAGCGTCGAGGAAGTGAGTATTCAGGAGATCCACGGGTTTGACCACGATTTTGACCCCGAAGTAGACCGGAAGTACCAGTGCCCAATCTGTCTGGCGGTCCTGCGGGAAGCGGTTCAGACTTCTTGCGGACACAGATTTTGCGAAGAGTGTCTGAAAGGCGTCATTAAGTGAGTTACGAAATATTCCTATATTGATTATCCACGGAGATTCCCTCTCACTGAGATCGTATATCTCCCCGAGACCCCAGTATCTGACCGAGGAAAGGTATACCTTGCAAGATATATGGTAATTACCGAGCGGTTATTTATGATCACAACAGGTTATACAACATTAAGGCATACTGGTCTTTATGTAGATATGATATTCTTCACTTTAACACTTGACCCGTGAAGGTCTTCAGCAACCTCTGCTTGCCGTAAATGGCGACTATGCTTGTCGTAAGAGGCGACTAACGGGATCAGATGGTCAGGCTCGCTGACTTGGTTGATGATGCATGTCATCGTATCCCAATTGCGTGGATCGATGCTCATGCTGTCAATCACTGGATTGTCTGGTTTACAGACCGCCGTCACGTAGCAGGAATATTGCTGAATGCGGCTTTAAACAACAAACAAACAAACAAAACTTTAACACCTGCATTTACTTACCTGTGCAGATACGTAATTTTCTTAAATAACTACCACGTTATCAGGAATAAGCCTTTCCATACCTTTCCGCTGATTTCAAGGTGCGATGGTGGAATGTTTACGTTTTATACAGAGTTATTGTGATATCAACTGTATGAAGGCAAATCACTCGCTAATTTCCATATATTGCTAGGTATGCTCCCGTGGTCTCAATGTCTGGCGGAAGTAACCTCAACCTCTCATTAAGGTACTACTCCATCACTGCTATATATAGTTATTACGAAACGTTTACCGTATACCTTCTGTGCAGGTCACCGCCAATAACTGTGTAGTAACCGTGATCAATGATCGTATCTGTGTGCCCCGTGTAAAGTTAATGTTTCTGTCTTCCAAACATTCACAGAGCAAGAACCTGTGCCAAGTGTCCCGTGGACAACAGATGGTTCAGAGTACGGGGAGAGGTAAGATATACACATATTCAGACAATTTCACCCTTTGCGTCCATGTTACTGTGTCATTTGCATGTATTGTGAGCGCATATTTTACCCATAGCTCTACGGGTAGCTGCAACTCTTTCGGAACTTGCGAAACCTATCAACTCCTTTTCCTTGGCAATTTTCAATTTGCCTTGTTTAATTTATTGATACCGACATTGTGACCAATACGTCCTCCTGCTAGTAATTAGAACAAAACACCATGGAGATTCTGGGTAAGAGTATTTCCCCCTAAACCAATGATATTTTTAAAAGCCGACTAAAATTGGGTGATAAAAGGCGTGTTGTCGTGCCCTAAGTGTGTGGATAATTGTCCTTTGTTTTAAACATTGGTTAATTGGTAAACTCATTTACAGGCCGTTGTGACATCTGCAATGCTGTCTACGTCTTTAATCACCCACTCCCTGTTTCGCTGTTAATTATCATTGTCACCCCAAGAGACCTAGTTTAAGGAGAGACTTCATCCGTAATTTGCTTTGAAGAAAAATGTCTTTTAAAAGCGAACCCGATCTGGCATGCGTTTGATCGTTAACAACATATATATGCATGATTCGTATGTCGACATCGTCGTTTCCGTCAGGTGTTTCCCGACAACGCCACCAGACGTGAAGTCCTGTCCTTGACCGTCAAATGCGACCACAACAAAGGTGATGACCGATGCCAGTGGAAGGGGGAGCTCCGGGAACTCCAGGTAAGTGAACGCGGCCATGCCCCATTAGTCTGCAGCTAGTCCAAGGGAGACCATCCAGCTGGTAGTGACCCCCTTAAACACCACGTCTTTCCTGTACGTACACTTGGACATTTCAGTATGGTGGGAGTGAGTACAAATCAACGTCGGATGGACACTTATCAGCATAATATATGTCGCCTCCAAACGTTGTTACAAACAAGTATAAAGGTTTCGTGTATTTTTCTAAGTTATTGTAATAAAATGCCAGTCAAAGACTTGATTTCAAAAACACGTGAAGATCCGGGTTAGAATTGGTCTTCAGTAATCCATGCTTGTACGAGGCGACAAATGGAGTCGGTTGGTAAGCCTCTCTGACTTCGTTAATGTACGTCATCATATCCCCAATTGTGTATTACATGTATTTACACATTCGTGACCATCTCGTGTGTTCCGGGACAATCCGAATAGCGACACGTGAGCTCCGTCTAAGAGCAAATGTGCATAGCTGAAAGAATTGTCACCTCGTTGCGAAATGATTCACGTATATTCACCCCATATATCATACAGATTCTAATTCAAACACATCGGGTCTTACAGTATTATACAGTTTGATTGAACACATTTAACTATATCTTGGGTTTATTGTTAATGCAAGACATGTAAACTCAAAAATTATTTCTGATGGATTCTTTGACCGAAGTACTTCAAGTCAACGCGCATTCTGATTAGTTTGTCGTATTTTCGAACATAGCATTCATCGATAGGAGGATGAGTCATCTTGTGGATTACGGAAAGGGGCGAGTGGTGACGAATGTTATTTACAGACAGCCCTCATACAGCTGGAATATTGCCGACTGCGGCGTTAAGCAACAAACAAAATTTACCTGACTTATAAAACCCCTTCACAATATTAACCGGGCGGGGCTCTAATTCCAGTTGATCTTCTTCAACCTGTGCCTGCTGTTGGCGACGACAATCTCAATGTATGGCTAGACTGTTTGTCATCGTGTAACAAAGGCGCTGACAGTTGTCATGCTATACATCACTGGTTACAGGCCGTGGAATATTGCTAACTGCTATAAATAATATTTTCTCCTTCGTGCCAATATGAACACACAGCCTACTCCACTACTAGCTTTTAACAAGTAAACCATTCATAATATAACAGTGACAAGGAGAATTTTTGTTAAAATTAATATAATAAAGGATAGGATCTATGCTTCCTATTTTTTATACATGTCTGTGGTTTATCTTGACTAACGCTTATGCTTTGACTAGTACCTCTTGCATCTTCTCGAGACAAGGGCTTTAACTGACTATAAAAGTCCAGTTTCCTCTTTTATAGTCAGTTAACCCTCTTGCCTCGGGAAGATGTACTTGATGTGACTCAAACACCAACAAGTTGTTTGTCCCCCAGGATCACAAGGATGCCTGTCAGATGGCCCCCCTGCCATGCGAGTACAACTGTGGGCTGACGGTGACACGCGGGGAAGCGGTGGCCCACATGGCCTCCTGCAGGAGAAGGCCCGTCGCGTGTGACCACTGCCACATAACGTTGGCATTGGCGGACAGACCAGTAAGTTACCTTTATGCCGGCGTTTCTTCAGAAGTCCTTGCTGCTTAGTTAAGACATTCCACCCGTGAAGTTCCGGGTTACAATTGGTCTTCAGCAACCCGTGCTTGTCGTAAGAGGCGACTAACGGGGTCAGGTGGTCAGGCTTGCTGACTTGGTTGATGCATGTCATCGCATGCCAGTTAAGTAGGTCGATGCTTATGATATTAATCACTGGATTGTCTGGTTCAGACACGAAGTGAAGACGCGGCGGTGCAGTTTATGGCCGTATTGCTCCCAGACCCGGCGGATAGCCTGTTGCGAGGAAGCTATGCCCGATTTTTTAAAAAGTACTGATTTAACTTCGACATTTTACTGCATCCGTCATCTTTGTTTATTTGACATTGACTTATTACATTTCTTGGAGTGAATGTTGTCCAAACTGCACGAAATTGCTTAAAATGCAATCAAATGTTTAAAAAAATTATGGGGGGCATCAACCTGCTCACATCCCTGTAAATACATTGACATAACCTGTGAATGTGTCTGAAAAGTACTTTACTGCAAAACTAAACCCCACGTTAATTTTGCCCTGACGTTCTGCACAGATGCACCACCTACTGGAGTGTGAGAAGTTCCCGGTCACGTGCACGGTGTGTGGAGCTGTGGGCATTCTCCGGAAGAACATCCCGGATCACATCGAGCAGGACTGCCCTCTGGTGGAGGTCAGATGCACTTTCCACAGACTAGGGTGCAAGGCTGAGGTATGTCACAAGAAGGAAAACGGAGAGCTGCAGGTGCGCGGATTCACGTCAATAGAAGCGGGCCTTGTTTTGCAAGGCGGAAGTTTCATTTTACAGATCTTGTTTTCAGTAAACAGTCGCGGTAATCCTTATGTAAGAAATGCTCAGACAAAGCAAAGAATAGTTAAGAACAGGTAAAGAATACGATTGCCCGACGCCCGAGGGCAGTAATGCATAACGGTGTCATCGCCTCATGGTCGTTCGCTCATCTGAGTATTCTACAGAATAATGGCAACACAAAAAAGATTCAATAATGGCACGTGGAATCTAACTTTGGCATTTGTATTTTATTCTTCTGAGATAAATGTTATTGGTTAGACGGGGTCTTTCTTTAAGGAAAAGCGCCAGAACCTTGAGAAACATAACAAAGATTACTGGCAGCAACACCTGGCCCTGATGGCCGAAAACGAGCTCCATCTGCGGTCTGAGATGCAGAAGTTCCGGATCACAGTCGAGTCCCTCACTAACGACGTGGAAGATCTCAAAGGGTGAGTGCACACCCAATTGTCAATTTTATGAGGCGGTGGGGTAGTGGTTAAAGGTTTCGCTCGTCACATCGAACTCAAGGTTCGATTATTTATATCGAAAGTTAATTTATTCGGAAGCCCCTTACGACTCCAGAAACGTGGATAATGGGTTCGACTCCCGGTTCGCCCCGATTATGTTTCTAGGTTTGTCGGCACCAGACCCGTTCTCGTGGGTTTCACCGAAGTGGTCTGCATCACTTCGGGCTTTCCTCCCACATTAAGCTGACACGCCGCGATATAACGGGAATATTATTCAAAGCGGCCTTAAACCCAACTCACTCACTCACTCATTCAGTGTATGTTTATCTCGATGTTTCAGTCTGGCCGTGAGACAGGAAGTCATCATGAAGGTCCAACGTCGACATATTCAAAGACTCCGAGGCGAGTCCAACAATGATTCTGTTTCAACTACGTCGGACGACGACGTTGCCGACGCAGGGACTAACACCATCACCGTCGATATGGATGAAGACAGTGCTAACATTTGATGACATGTACCTGGATATTTAGTCTCGAGTATCATGCGTAGGCATAGTGTTCTAAACATGGCACGGACGGTGGGGTACCCCTGTGGTTAAAGGGTTAGCTCGTCATGTCGAAGATCCGGGTTCGAGTTCCCCTTTGGTACAATGTGTGAGGCCCATTTCTGGTGTTCCCGCCGTGATATTGCTGGAATATTGCTAATAGCGGCGTAACACCATACTCACTCACTAAACATGTCACATGACGTCCCAACAGCCACACAAGATATATCTTTCCCTGACGTATACATGTGTGTGCACGTACATGCACGTACATGCACATTGATGTCTCACGTATCGGTTGGAAAAGCCTTCTTTTTAGCCTCCTTTGTAAAACGTAAGCAAGCCATGCACTTCATGTATTGGCCGCAGTCCTCTCCGTGTAACACCCTCATCAGGGCCAGGGTGCTCTGAATACCATTCTATAGACACACCAACCGCTAGGACATTTCTATATGCATTATTCAGAAATGTACATATATTGTACATGACAGATTAACGATAGTTATGGTATGTCATGACAAATTAACTATAGTAATATGAAACAATGGACTGGTCCTGAACTTCTTTTGAGTAGTATATGCACGTGGTACATAACTTCTTTGAGGGGCATTTAGAGGTTGGAGTACTAAGTAAGGATATGAATTATGGATGAAAAACGTCAGTATTACAATTAAGAGCCACTTTTCGGTGTAGGTTGTAACGCATGCTTGATAAGGAGATAGAACCTACACCGACCTGTCGCTCCTCGTTGTAATAAATTAGTTGTTCGTCCATATCTCATCCTTACCCACCTGTTACATGTAATTGTTCTGTTCTGCATGTATGGTGTCGATGTTGCGTTAATGGGTAAATGCACAGCACTATGCAGCATTGATGTTAATACGATGGTATATCACGGCGGCCTGTCTTGAGTGTGGATCAGACAAACCATGACAAAATATTTTAAGTACAGCGACTCATGCCGTGGGGTTCGACATTATCTCATAAGGCAGTTCACAGGTGGGAGATGTAGGCAGATGTCATATGTTGGACACTCAGTGAAAGAACAAACAAACAAAAGATATATCGGTAATATATTTCGTATTTATTGCGGCGCATGAAGTTATTAAGTTATAGGTAATTATTCAGTTTCATCTCAAACTCTTACTAAAACATATCCTAAGAGGAATCCTAAAATGTGCGATAAATGTGCCGTGCGCACAGGGTTATCCTAGCGACATGGATATCGCACCACAGCATCTGCTCAAGTACTGTAATGTTAACCTAGCATTTGATAGGATCGTTTTGTGTCAGCAGTCTTGTCCTGCTAAAAACGTGATATGTGAGTCTAGACGCTAGTTATTAATGGACAGACGGCGTGACTGTTATCTCGAGAATGTTTTATGATACACATGCATCAAACTAGGCGTATTCACCCATAAATGGTTACTTTGTTATTGGGTTAAAGACATACCCACAACTGTTGAGCTGGACTTTCTACACGGCTGTATCAGCACTGCTGATTGTTTACAAGATTCACGTGAAGGGACGATATGTATATGTAAGTGGACTCCCTGTAGGTCAGTGTATAGTCAGAGAATTTCAACTGATTTGTCACCAGGTTTGATTATGCTGAGGTATAACAGCTGCACTTATACTATATATAGTCAGCGGTGTGCGGGACTATATATATATATATATATATATATATATATATATATATATAGTCTTGTATGTATTTTGACAAGGACTGAGAATCCATTTCTATATATTTGCATGCATATTTTTCTACTATAATATTTCATATTTTCATAATAAAGATAAAATTCCATGTAAATGACTTATGTTGTTTTCCCCTGTCCTATAGGCTAGGCTTCTGACTGCTGTCAAGTCACTGTCACCATGGAGAATAGATAGGGCTGTTCCCCTTTTACACCCGTTAGGGTCGTTGTCCCGATGTGTTCTGATTGTGTCATCGTTACGTGGGTTCATATTGTCGTGTTGATTTATATGGCGGTTGTCTCAAGATAACTAGTCCTACGAGAGTAAGAATCAGAACGAAGAGAAACTAGTGCGTTCTAATATCCATTGGGACGGTCGGGTAGCCTAGTCCATGTTTAAAGCGTTCCCTCGCCACGCCGAATACCAGGGTTCGATTCCCGACATGGGTACAATGTGTGAAGGCCATTTCTGGTGCCCCCCGCCGTGATATTGCTGGAATATTGCTAAAAGCGGCGTAAAACCATACTCACTCACTCACTCTAATATCTATTTAAGGAGCAGAGCGATTTTTATTATGGCGCTCATTTTCAAATGGTATGCCTGACCCAGACCCGTAATGTGGCGTTAAACACCACTTTAACGACCAATACGTATTTTAATTGTGTTAACTGCACAAATAACCAACCGATTTAGCCCTTCTGCTTACATGTCTATGTATTGAGTATGTCAGGTTTGTTTCGGGGGTGGTGGAGTAGCCTAGTGGTTAAAGCGTTCGCTCGTCACGCCCCGGGTTCGATTCCTGACATGGGTACAATGTGTGAAGCCCATTGCTGGTGTCCTCCGCCGTGATATTGCTGGAATATTGCTAAAAGCGGCGTATAACCATACTCACTCACTTACTCAGGTTTGTTTCCATCGGTAAGATATCTCGAGTGTACAAGGTGTTTGTTTGTTTGTTTGTTGTTTAACGCCATAGTCGGCAATATTCCAGCTATATGACGGTGAGTGTACGTCATATTAGTTCCATGTGTATATATAACATAAGAACTATTTTCATAACTGAACAGAAGTATTCAAAAGTGATTCACTTTAACTGAGCTATAGTCTTGTGTACTAATTTGAACAAAGAGGGAATACCAAATAAATCCTATGAACCATCAATTATGTAAACATATTTCAATGTGTGGATCGTGTGATTTTATTCAATATAATTATAATCTGTGCACATTTTGCTATAAATAGATCCACATTCATACATCTTTGTTTGTCAAACCGACATACACTTTTATCCTAAGATCCCCATGGGTCGTTAATCTGTATTTGTAGTTAAGGCTTGCGATTATCCCCACGTGCTGTAGAAGGTTCGACCTATTTTAAGCTTATGGCGCCTCGGGGAAATACCATATGGTTATTCATGCTCTATTGCTCAGCGAACGGAGACACGATTCGTGGACATATTCATTAATACTTCATATGTTGTTATATAGTTTCCGTACATTCACAGGTTTTTGTTCAGATTAATGAGAATATTGAGCGCAATTAAGCAGCCATCTTGTTATCTGAGAAGCCAGTGTGAAGACTACCGCGTGCATATGGTGTACTTCCTTGATTGCTTTCGGCATGACTCGGGGTTATTCGTATCTAATTATATTCCGGAACACTGCATGACGACCGACATACCCGGATGATCGTCGTGATCCAAGGCAACGTGACTTGTTTATTTAAGTTTGTGAAGGATATCACAAAAAGACACAGTAGATGGGCAGATATAGACGACTCTGTGTGTGTGTGTGTGTGTGTGTGTGTGTGTGGATAGATAAAATACAAGTCCAAATATGAGCTGTTTAATTAATTCAAACGGTTTCACGAATGTATATATACACTTCATCCATTACTATGTATTGAGTTGTACTGTGTCGAGAAATAAATAACTCTACTGCTCCTACTACTACTACTGCCACTACCACCATCACACAATATAAAGAAGTAATTGAAAGGAACATACAAGGTTACCTAATGTCTATGATCAACATATTTTACTGGAAAGTACAAAGTAAATGATTTATGAAACCGGTCCGCGGTCACTCGATTTGATTTCTAGCCGCCACGTCACATGCACGGACTATCATATGATACTTACATATTGATCTACATTAATAGGTTCATTGTTTTGTTGATACTATGTATTACATATTATATTAAGATCATAATATTATATTTTAGTCGCTATGAACGTGTGGGAGCTGTTGGTATGGTTGAATATCGGGAGGGGGTAACATATGTTCCTATACCACACCTGTCGAGGACTGAAAGATAGTAAAAACACTCAAGATATGAATGAAATAAACACGTGGGTATTACTTTTCCGTGTCACCTGCTGAATCAACAGCAAAAGAATGATGATTTGGCAAAGTGTCGCCGTACCACGTTCGTCCTGTGGTTTAGTATTTGCCTCGTGCCCATTCATGTTTGACGAGTTCGGCGGGTGCTGTATCGCTAATACCCAAATATAGCAACTGCATTTGTGGGCGCTGTCGGTAACTGGCCAATCGAATAACAGATCACACGTGATAGCATTCACAGGATCTACGTCATATCACATGTTTTGGCACACCGCCAGAATTTTCTGATGCAACCCTATGCTTTGTTTACTCCCTAGAAATACCTACACATCCGCTTCGCAAGATAGTGCATCAGAACCTTTATAAATATACTAGTTTGTTTCAAAAGCCAATATTGTAAATATGGTTCAAGTGTAATTTAACTTCAAAATGAAGCTAATGATCACATAGACGTGAATATTTAGCTAATTCGGGCAGCTGTAGACGTCACGCGTAGTAATATTTCACACTAAGCGCACTTTTTAGCTGGCCACATCGCCCGCACCTCTCCATTCTCAGTTTTACCAGCTACCAAGAAAGTCTACACGTTGAACCTTTCGTGATGGCAGCGTAAACCGGCAACCCCCGCAACACCCGTGCAAATAATTTTGCACTATGGCGTAAGTACATTATTAATATACACATTTGATCGTTTTAATTTACATTTATGTGCTACATTGTGATATTATATGTGCTTAATTATTACTTAAAAATAACTGCGCAGTTAGACTAGACATGTCCACATGTGCCACGCGTTACTTCCCGCCATATGGACGACACAATTAATATTTTGTCCATTATCAATCGCACTTGGAATTATGAAGTATGTTATCTTTATAAGGTTATATGAACTCCATTTTTATTGTATCTACACACATTTGTGAATTAAATAGCTGTTATGCAATTTTTATGTTTGACAATTTCAATGACCTTAATTTCTCCTCCCCCCACAAATCGTTGGTTCTAGATTTATGGCTGACACGAGAGCTTTTTCTTTCAGACCCCAACACAATGTCGTTTTCCTCTTCGCCCTGGCAATTGCTGTAAAGGCACAAGATACAGAACCCATTTATACCTACGATGACTTCTACACTCAACATGGAGGACCTCAACCTCTTGTCGGAGGACTGGCAGCTCGAGCCTTCGCTCGGACTGACCCTGTTCGATGATCCATGGAAGAACGTCGACTTAGAGTCGACAGATGTTGTCAAGACTCCGCTCGATAGCGGCGTCGATGACCTCAGCGCGCTGCTTGGAGCTCAGACAGATCATATCGCAGGTGCGTGTTTAAGGTCACGAGTTGACCGTATCATAAGGTCAAGGTCGAGTGTTCAACCCGGAAACTAAACCAAGTTGATTTGGTAATGGGCGTTTTCCTAGTTAAGACTTAAAATGGTGAATAATATCGTGGAATAAATCTGTTTTGTTAAATACTGATTACTTTTAAGGCCATTTATTTCAATATGTTCAATGCTTTTTCCAGACCCCTTCTGCGATGAGTGGATGGAGAATGTTGGCATCACGGAGATGCTACAGAGCCTGGTGGAGGACTCTGCTAGTGCCATGGATGTCAATTCAGTCCCAGAAACTTCATGGGAAGCTGCAGACACCTCTTCTGAGGCCAAGGGTCATGAAATTCTACGAAGCTTGATAGAGCAGGGCTTGGAGCCGGAATCAACCCCACCGTCACCAGAGGCACAGGTGGCTCCAACTATAGACCTGGGCGCTGTGTCCTTGGACTCTAGTCTCGAGACTCCCATGTCTCCCATACATATAACAAACATGGATGGAATCATGCATTCACCTCTCTCCGCAGAAGATGTAGAAAGCCTCCTGTCTGGCTCCGAGCCCTCCTCCCCCCACTCAAGTTGTGCGACAGACGTTGTGAGTGACGCATCCACTTGCAGTGAGCTACAAGCGATGCTTTTGGACAATACCCCTAAATCAAATGGCAAATCTAGAATTAGGTCGTCGCCCTATTCTAAGTCTAGCGGGCGTAGTACAAAGTCTAAGGTTAAGGACACAGATGACTTAGATCTTCATGTTGAGTTTCTTTCTAAGAAAGACAAAAAGAAGCTGCAAAACAAGAACGCTGCCATCAGATATCGCCAGAAGAAAAAGGCAGAAGCCGAAGATGTAAAAAGTGAGGAAAATGGTCTCGAGGATAAGAACAAAGAACTACATGACAAAGTTGATCAGTTGACACGCGAGATTCAGTACATGAAGGACCTCATGTCAGAGGTGTTAAAAGCCAAGGGCGTTAAGTCGTGAAGTGTAGATAAAAGTTAGTGTGAATGTCAACTTGTACATATTGTGGATGAAAGGTGTGTGAATTCGATGTAATAAATGTTCGTAAATTATGACAACCATTTGTTCTGTTTTAACTTTCTTTTTTTTGGTCGTTGGAGTTAAATAAAATCAACGCTGTCAGGCGGTATGATACGAAGCGTAACGGATTTGAGCTAGTTTTAGTGCTCGCCTGGTAGTGTTACTTTGGGATTCTAAACACTGGTGCCCCAGGTGGCTGAAATACTGCCGTGTGAACTTTAAATCAAAACGTTTCATGTCCCAAACAGCCTCGGTCGATGCTCGCAATATGGATCATTGGTTTGTCTGGTGCAGATGAGATGTACATGCCACGGTCATTGGATGGAATATGGACGAGTGCTGCCTAACGAGCAACATGCTCTCAAACACTGGTTATGCCTCGATAGTTGCCCTCGTAAAAGTACCCAAACCCCAGGCGATACATTTCATCAATAATTATGAAGGTGGACGATTTCACAATGCACACACACCTTGTTTAAAAAAGTTTCTTTATGAAACCGCCTTAGTTTATTGTGCTCAATAGTGCTGGAACGAGGAGTACATATACATATTGCTGATACATACGTATATTCTTTAACGATGACTTCTTTTTATATTGAGTACTAACATTTTCAACACCGCAAAACGACACGGTAGCCTTTCAATATCCCCGAAAACGTGTGGGTCTCGTAAGGTTTTTTGTTAAAGAGACTGCAAATGTTTGCGGCGCACATGGTACATTCATCAACATAACGAAGCTTACGTACTCTTTACGTGGTTTAAGGGAAGTAAGTGTATTTATCTGAATTCATCGCGAAGGCACACTAAGACTCCGCTGCAATACAAATGGACGTGAAACATTTAAATTCTATATCATAATTAGGAGAACCTTAAATGTTCCTTATGATTTGTCTGGGACATATCAACCGGTCTCCTCTACGCCCTCTCCCCCGTTTAACATGAACTCGACGCGTGAAGACCCGAGGTAGAATAGGTCTTCAGCAACCCATACTTGGCGACTAACGGGATCGGGTGGTCAGGCTCGCTGACTTGGTTGATACATGTCATCGTATCCCAATTGCGTGGATCATCTCGTGATGCCAGTCAGTGTATTGTCTGGTCATGAGAATTGCTGAGTGCCAGTTTAAATAACGAACAAACATGTCAACTCAGATGTCAACAAGATTCACATACACACTAACACTAACACTGTTTATTCACTCACGATCGATGAATCTGTCAAGGATACTTCTTTAAACCAGTGTTCCAGAAACGGTGATTTCTGACACACACCGTAAATATGGTGATTTACCAGCCGCTTCTTTCACTCTGAACTGCGGTTGCGGTGCAGTTACTTTCCTTGAATCGAACCATGCATTCTCTCATAAAACTGCCGTATCATTGTGAAATAGAACTGGCTAGAGACTTGCTTCTATATATTAGTTTTGTTTTCTTAAAATACATATATTTAACAGTCATGGGGCAGGACTAACATAATCCACTAGAACAGGAAGTTCATTCGTTGTCAACTCGTGTCCTTTCGGGACAGATGCGAGTGGTGACGAATGGAGGAAGTATTTACTTTCTAAACAAGTGACAATGAAACAAATTATATATATAAATATGTATTTCTCTATATTCCACATATTTTCTATGACAAATTCCAGAGAATCTTCCCCTGTGGGCTTCTGGGCAGAATAGGTCTTCTGTACCCCGTGCTGTAGTAGGATCCAAACTAAACTGAAGATTGTGTGATCTGGATATTTTAATTGTGAGGATTCGAATCCCCTGATTCCTGAATTCTACTTAACAGAAATCTAAAGAATCGAGAAAAATGTGCGATTCTGAAGTTAAATGACTAAAAACAAATCTGTAAAAAAATACAAATATATTAATGTTTTCCATTTATTATGTTTTAACACAAAAATACTGGGTTTTTTCTAGTCTCATTGCTACCCACATATTGTATCATTCATGTTGAGTTCCATGAACTTACCGGTACCACCACCGGAAGTTTGGTCAGAGTATTATGTGGGGCAGCGAGAAACAGATCGCTGTTACGCTCTGAGGAATGATGAAAGGTGCTCGATGAAGCGAACGTAAAACATTGCTTTCCTTGCGTGTTCTGCAGCGTTTCTATGCTCAGCTATACGCTGCATACATGTGGTACCTTTTTGATACCTCTAAACAATTTCAATTTTGAAGGCTTTAATGGACAGATTTCATTATTATTACAATCCATACGTAACAATTAAGTCTTTTTTCACTCATATAACACACACAAAAATCATGCATTTTCCTACACATTCCTCAATTTCTTTGTGTTACCGGAAAATGTTTAAATGAAGCGCACATAAAATATAAACTTTGTCCTGTGATGTACTTAGAATCATCAGATAAAATGTGAATGCACAGTCGTATTACTGTGAAGACTTGTTAACTCGAAGTCTTTGGGAGCAGCAAATATATCCAGTTACATGATAATGATTCTGTCGGGGCAGTCCGATTCCATAGTGTCAAATAATAAATCTAGTTAATGGAGTTTAAGAATTTGTCATTATGAGATATGGGAATATTATGGAGGCGTTATGACGATGACAAGCCCACGTTCTCGTACATATCGGCTACTTCGTCGTGAAACTCGCAATTCAGAGGCAATAAGACGCCATATGCCGTTGAACTTTACCATATGACCTATATGTGATATTCACCATCGATTTGCTTCACGTGTGTGTGTGTGTGAGAGAGAGAGAGAGAGAGAGAGAGAGAGAGACGGTTACGTTTCGACTCGTTCGTGTGGTGGTAAGTTAAACACCGTTAATCCGGTCAGTGTCATCCTAGAGCAAATGTCCAGATATACACATGCCCGGATGAACAAATCACTGTCATGGAGTTATGGCTTCAGTAAATGTAGATGTCCAAAATGAATCGCCCCAAAAGAAAGGTTTCCGAAAATGGCACCCGGATTAGCGAGCTTTAATTGTGCTGTAGTGCGGATACCAGCCTATAAAACAAATAAATATTAGCCTGCATGTTTGTGGGTGTGTCAGAGGAAGATGTATCACAAATACGAAACATGCTATAGGTCGTATCATATTATGCTCTGTTCCATATTGTCACTGTAAAGGACAACCCTCAGTTGAAATGTGCTTATGACAAGACCCTACATAGAAATATCTATGCTGCAAAAACAGACCTTTTAATTATGAAACAAAAGCAATGTATCTCCTATTCAACTGATGATGAATTATTTGAACACCTGTGCATGGTGTTTGTTTGTTTGTTTTAAATTTTACTGTGTACCGATCCGTGTAAAATATTATGTATTATTTACTTTTTACATATTTTCAATATGCAAATATTGTGCAAGAATTATATTTTCTGAGAAATTAACCAGATAAAGCAGTTCGTGTCGTTCATTTCAAGAGAATTAAGCTAACCGTGACGACTATTCATACTTTACGTTTGAGGACCGCCTCCGTGGTCTAGTGGTAGAGCGTCCGCCCGGAGAGCGGAAGGTCCGGGGTTCGAGCCCCGGCCGCGTTATACCAAAAGACGTTAAAAGATGGTACTTGTTGTTACCTGTCTGGTGCTCGGCATTAAGGGGCTAAAACAAGGACTGGTCGGCTCGGAGTCAGTATACTGTGTCTGAGTGGGGTATTCATGTTAAACTGCGGCATGGTATCTCAGTGAGCTAGCACTATAAATCGGCATCAGTCCGGACTAGTACAAGCAGCCACACACACACTTAGTGCAATAATCTTGGCCGCGACGTTAAACCCCATTTCACCTCACCTCACCTCACCTCACAACTTTACGTTTGTAGTTGTTTAATTTTCTGTTAATATTAGTGAGTGAGTATAGTTAACGCCGCTTTTAGCAATATTCCAGCAATATCACGGCGGGGGACACCAGAAATGGACTTCTCACATTGTACCCATGTGGGGAATCGAACGCGGGTCTTCGGCGTGACGAGCAAAAGCTTTAAGCACTAGGCTATCTCGACACCCACTGTTAATATTTACCAGCATATATGAACCTGATAATTCCCACGAATTATTGAAGGAATGCTTAGAGGTCAGCTATTGTGATTCCTCGGATCTCCTCAACTATATCAGCAGTCTCATCTCACACGGAATGGAATCAGCGTCCGACAGGATGACATCGCCCACAGATACTGAACGCGTCACACCGATCACGACAAACCACGTGACAGCAGTGGTCTCCTGTTAATGGCCTAAATGACCTCATTTTGCATTTATTGAAAAATATTTTAATCAAATTTGAATAATCATGCTTTTACCACTTATATATTAATCATATAAGCCTTATGATCTATTATATATAAATGTGGTGTGGATGTGCACAACATAGCTTTGATTATATTGCACTCTGGCAATGTAACTGTCATAAATACATTACATAGCCACCCGTGAAGATTCGCGTTAGGTCTTCAGCAACACATGCTTGTCGTAAGAGGCGACTAACGGGTTCGTGTGGTCAGGCTCGCTGACTAGGTTGATGCATGTCATCGTATCCCAGTTGCGTGGATCGATGCTCATGATATCAATCACTGGGTTGTCTGGCCCAGACTCGATTATTTACAGACCGCCGTCATATAGCTGGAACATTGCTGAGTTCGGGGTTAAACAACAAACAAACAAACACACGAAACATTACATAGCATGTATACAATACAAGAATGCGCAAGGGGAAATGATTTGGAGCTGGGGAGAGACGGAGGACCTACTCTGGCATTGAATAATGACTTGGCCTACTCAAGTCAAATCTGATCCCATTTGCATTTGTTTATCTACTGTAAATCTACATGACAATAATCTCTACCCTTCACGAGGTTTGCAAGTGATAACTGTTTACATGAGAAGGTCAACATATTTACGTTGATATGTTCCGACTCACTACCTCCAGATAGAGGACCAGAACAAGATGGCGGCCGCCATGTCTTCTGAGAACTCACTCAGCAAATTGCCGGGATCTCCCAAAATGCAACTCGGGCCCAGGAAGATGTATGGGGTGATGGCTGTTCTGGTGTGTAACCTGTGTGAACAGATGACGTACTACAGCGTCATGGCTAACCTCATCCTCTTCTGCACCAGCGTCCTCAACTACAGCAGCCCCGAGGCAGCCACCATCAGCCTTGTCTTCTCGGGTATCTTGTAATATCTTCCTTGTTGGAAATACTGAAACTGGTGTCAAATTAACGTATATGACACACATTTCACCAAATGTACACGTTGTGTGAATTGTGTACTCATGTCCTGATGACCGCCTCTGTGGTCTAGTGGTAGAGCGTCCGCCCCAGAGCGGAAGGTCCGGGGTTCTATTCCCTTCCGCGTCATACCCAAAGACTTTAAAATGGTACTTGTTGTTACCCTGACTGGCGTTTCGCATTAAGAGGCTAAAATAATTACTAGTCGGGTCGGAGTCAGTATACTGTGTCTGAGTTGGGTATTCATGTTAAACTGCGGCATGGTATCTCAGCGGGCTAGCTCTATAAAATCGGCATCAGTCCGGACTAGTACAAGCAGCCACACACACATACACGTGCATGCACGTCGCTATATAAGTGCACCTCACCCCACCTGACCTTTATGTTCTGATAAATACGCATAAATAGAACTGAATTACTTTTTCTCGACATGAAAACATTGACATTTCAAATGGGCTACTCATGAAAATATCGTGCAGTTTTGTCAGTTCATTCGATGGGATAAACATGTAGCACATAATTCACATCCATTCATATAAGTTTCACCCCTATGTAGTCTTTTACGCCCAATAGAATCTGTTTCGGCAGATAAATCGAGACTGCTTATTCTCTGGTCGTGGACAAGCTAAATATTCTCAAGCTAAATATATGACACATATCTCTAGTGACTGGAATGCATGATGTAAAGAAACTAAAAAGAAACCAAAATGCGCGACAACGATCTGGGACATTATGACCACGATGAATCATGGATTCGAACCCATGACCAGTGTATGCTAAACACTCCCCCTCCGAGCCACCCGTGTGACACGTGTGGGTAGACGGATCTGATTTGACGTTGGGTTGAACGCGACAAAACCCTTTCCGGAGTCGTTTGTACGACGTAGTAAGAATTTGCAAATATCCTGACAGCCAGAGTTTTGACAACGTAAACCATCAACCATTGGTTACTTCGAGATATGAATGTTTATAGAGAGTCATGTTTTAGACATGGTGCACGTGTGTTACAGCAAGTCGTTTTGTTTGTTTGTCTCTTGTTTAACGCCGCACTCAGCAATATTCCAGCTATATGACGGCGGTCTGTAAATAATCGAGTCTGAACAAGACAATCCAGTGATTGACATCATGAGCATCGATCCACGTAATTGGGATACGATGCGATGTATCAACCAAGTCAGCAAGCCTGACCACCTGGTCCCGTTAGACGCCTCTTACGACAAGCATAGTCGCCTTTTACGGCAAGCAGGGGTTGCTGAAGACCTATTCTAACCCGGATCTTTAGGGTAGCCCGGTTGTGGTGTAGGCTTGAAAGATGGATTAAGGTACACTTACAAGAGTTATACATCAGTGGTCTAACTACATGTATACAACATCAACGCCAGATGATAAATAGAAACATATTCCATTGAGCGTAAAAGTTAAAACAGCGGTGAAAATAATAAGAATGGATCACTGAAAGTCAGTTCGTGAAAATGGTAAGCATGTCCTGCCCTACCGGCAGAACCCGCCACTCACACAATCTGCATGAAGCAAATAGTATTAAGTGTTTGTTGCCTGACGCAGCACAGCAGTACTCCTGCCTGGCGACGGCGGCTTGTAAACAAACAAAGCACGTGATCGATCCATGGACCAGAAGATCCAATGACGGACAAAAAAACAAATAGGAAAACGAGATTGAGCTGAAGACCCGTTCTGACCCGGATCTTCACGGGTCTAAAGCAAGTCGCAGTCAAACGTTTTAGGCGTTCATTTTTATATTATAGAACTGTGTAGTGTTGTCAGACGGGTGTGCTGACCTCTGTTCCACTAATATGTCATTCCTGCACTCTGTGTGTAGGGACAGTCCTGTTCATCAACGTGGCGGGGGGCTACATCGCGGACTCGTTGGCGGGTCGGTACAACACGATCCTTGGGGCTGGCCTCATCTACCTGATAGGTGAGATACCCAGATCACGTGGCACTCCCTGGTCACTCCACTGTTTGCTAATCACAGGCCAGGTAACAAAGAATTAAAACGCATGACTATATACCGTGGTGAATTTGGGTGTTGGTATTCACAGGGCGAAAAGCCGTACAGATATGACACTGTGTAGTGGCGATTGACAATGTGTTGTATTGGCGGAGTTATATAACGTCATCACAATATGTCTTTGACATACATGTGTATGGTCCTAATATTCTAAGCATCATTATCAGGACGAATCCATGAATGTAGGATTCTGGTACGGCTAAGGGATGCAACTCTGCTCAGCGAATTTCGGCACATTTGATGACTGGCCCCCCGTGCGTCCACACGGAATGCAGAAAGTTCTGTGCTGTGCTGTGCTGTGCTGTGCTGTGCTGTGATGAGTTTAGGAGTGGCATGATGCATTAAGACCCCAAGTAACGAGTTTACATGCTTACATGCCATTCTCTATGTAAGTGTCTGTGCCATGTTTGTTTATTTGTTATTAATTTCCACACTCACAAAATTCCAGCTGTAAATAATCCAGACTGGACCATACAGTCCAGTGACTGATATAATGATAAACACAACCAAGACACCAAGCCAGACCATCCGATCTATCAAGTAACATCTGACGACCAGCACGGTTGTTTGGAACCTGCTCTTGTCTTGAGTTTTCTGACTGTCCTGTCATTGTGACAATGTTGATGTGTTGCACTGTGTCTGTACAGGTCTTGTGATGATTCCTGTCTCTTCCGTGGATTATAAGGATGTGTTCGGCAGGTCAGAGGATGGATCTGCCCTGGACATGACAGTGGTAAGAGTAAGAGAAAGGATTTTACGGGTGGGTTGGGTTTGCCGGAAATTCAGTAATACAGAATGTTTACTTTTTAAACAGCTTCGATCAGTAAGATCTGGCATTCCAGATACGGCTCCATGCATTGAGTCGGAAACTTCTTGTTCTATGTTGGCCTACAAAGTGGATTAGCCCTTGGTTTACTGAGTGTTGTATCCCCAGGAGGCGAGACGTGTCTACTTCCTGGGAGGCCTGGTGTTTGTTGCTCTCGGCACTGGTGGCATCAGGGCGAATATCGGAGCCTTCGGGGCGCAGCAGGTGCAGGGGCTGGGCGAGCAGGCCGTGCAGTCCTTCTTTAACTGGTAAATTATGTTACTGCTAAGAAATCTCTCCTAAATCAGGGTCGATTGTACGATTCCGACCATATCAAGAGCATCTGTGTATGAATAACTATCAAACAGTAATGATACCAGGAGCGTCGCGTAAAGGTGAGCGTATCCTGCTCCACCGGGGGCACCCATCACAAACACATGCAAAGTCAATTATTCACCTGAGAGAAAAAACGGGAACACATGGTACAAGTCAAAATAGGGAGCTACATGGGACATCATTTTGGTCAATGATTCTTCAAATTTGGAAATGCCCACATGTCTACTCTAAACCTTTTTGAAAGCTTTACTGAGGCCTTGGTTGTTGTAACTTTGATCAAACAACTTTTGAGCAAGAGTCGTGTGACGCTCTTTGAAACTTTCGCAGAAAGAGTTTGCTCGATTGTACCTCAAAAGATGTGAAACCAAAGGCTGAAGCCGCTGGAATATTGCTCAAAAGTTGACTATTGGAAAAATGATGTCATTGTCATACAGTCTTGTGGAGGGTGTTTTGTCACTCTGCATCTTTATGCATAGATCTGAATATGTAAATAATGAGGCGGTCTCTGATTTCTTTTCATTCTAGTTCGGTTGGGTAAATCAATGAAAGGGAATTGGCTATTTGATGGTAATTGAACGACATCAGATCATCGATATACCTGAAGCTTAAGTTAAACTTCTTGTTCTTATTTTGCCAATCCGAGAAGAAATTCCGATTTATATGCATAAAGAAACAAATCAGCAAGAAGAGGAGCCCATTTGGTGCCCGTGGGGATGCCTACTTCTTTCTTGCCTAATTGTCTTACCCTCAAATTTTTCATTGATGTAAAGTTTGAGGTGTGGGAAAGTGGTGTAACAAAGTTGAAAAATCAAATGTTTTGACAGAAATGAACTTTCTTCATTTCTAAGATTGCAAAACTTCAAGCAAGTCCTACAATTAATTCCACTTATCTCCAATACTTTCTTGATCGTGTTAAGGAGTATGGTTAATCTTTGAGTCAGGGGTTTGGTGGTACATTTGTTGGACCCAGCAAGTTCTCTCTCTTGATACAAATTTTTACAGAGCTTTGGAATCCAGTACAAAAGAGGAATAGACAAGTTGACCAAACTAATGCATGGTTTGGGGAGACTTCTTCCTCATATATGGCATTATTTGATGAGTCACTTATACTTACAAGTTTTAAAACAAATAATTTGTGTGGTGATGCTTACACATAACGTTGATGTTATCTGAGGCCTTGTCAGTGGGAACTAATACAAACTTTTCATGTGGAGTAATCAGACCTTGGAAGACAGCTGGCACGGACAAAGGGTTTGTTCCAATTCGGTTTCCTCTTTATCTGTTTTACAAATGCCAACAGCCCGCATTGACTGAACCCACACTGAAAGTCCATCAACAAGTCCCTCTTTTCTTTAGGCCCATTATTTGGCATATGCTTCGATTTTCAAGTTGTGATCAAAATGGCAGAAGACCAGATACAGCACCCCACGTGTATGTTTATCCCAATGGTGCTTCACAATGTGGTCCTCCCACAGGTTCTACTGGTTCATCAATGCTGGAGCTCTGGTCGCCTTCTCTGGCGTGGCCTACCTACAACAGAACAACAGCTGGGTCTGGGGGCTATCTGTCCCCTTCTTCAGCATGAGTCTAGCCCTTGCAGTTTTTGTCCTGGCCAAGGGGACGTACCGTCACACACCACCAGCAGGTCAGTACCACACAGACAGTTAGTTAGTGGCTGTACGTGACTGTCATATCTCTTTAAACAATCAAACACAGAGGAATGGTTCACTGGAAAGATCAGAAATTTAATGTGTTGGTTCAAACAACTGCATGGATTCTTCTTTCTCAGAAAAGACATTGTATGTTCTAAAGTGCTGGCTGAAAATAGACAAATAGTCTCAAAACTAAAGTAGAATAGTATGTCATCGGCCAAAGAGTAATTTCAACAGTACAATTCGTTTTATAATAGTGCTTGCAATGATCTTGCAATTTTCTATTTTTCTTCGGAATATTAGGTGTTTTTGATTTTGTTTGTTATTGTGACGAGATTCAGATTGAGGGACAGCCCCCTTGTATTGTTATGACTTATGTGTGTTCAATGTTAAATTCACATGTTGTGTTTAATTACCTAATAGATTGAAACTCAATAACTACTTTGGCCTTCATTGTATATAAAATGATGATGTGATGTTTGTTGTTTAACGCCGCACTCAGCAATATTCCAGCTATATGGCGGCGGTGTGTAATTAATCGATATTGTATAAAACACATGTTCATTAAGTGCAAACTCTGCTCCACATTATGATGGTATTGTATTTCTGATGGTTGAAATGCTAATCCGTAAGAACGGAATGAGTCTGTTAATAGCCTTGGCTAGCCGCGTGGAGTGAAAGATTCCCCTATCGGAGAGTGTCCAGTGCTAAATTTACTCTCGGAGATTCTCCGCAGTTGAAGACCAGCTTGTCCTACCGTCAGTTCCCGGGAGGCTTTTTAACACTTTAGCAATGAGTCTCGAACTGAGCTGACCTGACGTTCTACTATCCTCCGAGATCAGGTTCCTTTGTCCATCAACACCTGGTCAACAGAAGTGATTCCACATAGTAAGATAGATAGATAAGACTGATAACTGTCCACTCGTTCACTTATTCCCCAACTCATCCACTGACATACATAACCAACAACTCACTCATGTACTCACTCACATACTCGCTCACACTGATGCTTTGTTTCAGAGAGTGTGCTGACTGCTGTGTTCAGTGTGTGGCGTAAAGGATGCGGACATTTCGACAAGGTGAGGAAGACGAAAGGTGGACCGTATGATGACGTCACTGTAGATGGCGCTGTCAGTGTGCTGAGAGTCATACCTGTGTATCTACTCATGATCTTCTACTGGGTCATATACTCACAGGTAAGTACAAACCTCTTATAATATCCTAATATCAGAATGAGCCATTAACAAAGTATATTTAAACACACGGGTTAATGGACAAGATTATAAAAGACAATCGTATGGGTAAAAAAAGCTGCAGAAGCAGTGATTAGCAGGCCCTTCAATATCTCTAAGTGCACCCAGGAATCTTGTGAATGTTTCACTGTCGAATGTCTGAAAACAGTCATATGTGTGTTGTTGAGTCTGGAGTTGTATTGGAAGGTGGCAGGGATTCGGTGTTTTCATATAAATATGTAATCCGTACTTGGCAAGTAGATGAGACGCAAGTAAGCATCAAATAACCCTCGTCTTGTCTCATCATGAACTTCTCGAACGATCCAGCTTGCCATGTTTGTTCACTTCTACCAGGGACGATAACTCTGATCAGACTTCCTCTTAAAATCCTTTTACGAGCGTTTCTGTCGATTGCTGCCACTCACAATCACTTCACATAAACGTACCAAACTCTCTACAAATATATTGGTTGAATATTACGTTACTGAACAGCGTGACACTATGTTTGTTTTCTAACATATAGATGCAGTCGACCTTCTTCTTGCAATCAGAGAGGCTGAACATTAAAATTGGTGACGTCAAAATCCCCGCCGCCATGCTTGCCATCTTTGACATCCTCATCATCCTCGTGTTCATCCCCCTCGTAGACCGAGTGATATACCCGCTCTTCAGAAGGTTGGGCCATCCCCTCAAACAGCTGCAGAGAATGGGTGAGGAAAAAATTAACAATAACCATTTAGGTCGGTATATAAGAAACACAGCATTGATGTCGAAAATATTTATATCTAAATAACAAATGTATTGGTGAGAATAAAGAACTTGTCCTGAGGTAGAAATGAAATAATGCCACATATAAGGTCAATATCCTACTTGAGGAAGAAATTTGCCAAAACTATAAATCAGTATTATCAACTTTTGTCTTGACTCAAGAACCTGAAAGTATGTCCTTTCCTCTTTCGTACTGGATTCCAAAGCTCCATAAAAGTCCGTACAAAGAGAAATATACCAAGAACTGGTGCAAAGATCTTGCAAATTCTGTGGTTGGTTCTGGAGAGTGCGCAGACTTCTGCCAAGAGCATCCCAGACGTATTCGATGGGATTGAGGTGGGGAGACCTTGACGGCCAGTCCATGACGTTGACTCCCGCATTCTGAAGGAAATTCCTTGACAAAATTGCTGTGTGTGGTCTGGCATTGTCGTGTCCATGTGCTGCCATAAAAGGCAGAAGTTCTGGTGCCATTACCTGGTCGCGGTAAGCAGCAGCGTTGAGGTTGCCACGGATGACAAGAGGCCTGGAACGTGCATTGCCACAGAAAGCACCCTACACCATGACACTTCCGCCTCGAAACTGTCAACTTCCTGTACACATCACTGGGCGTAACGTTCATGACGGCGCCTTCACACCCTCGCCCTACCATCAGCAAATCGAAGATTAAATCGGGATTCCTCACTGAAGACGACTTGATTCCAATTCGTAAGTGTCGCTGTGCCCACAATTGACGTTGACGTCTGTGTAATTGAGTCAGAATCGGCCCGCAGTATGGCCGTCGTGCTTGAAGGTGAGCAGTTCTAAGACGGTTTCGAACAGTTTGCGCACTCAGTCTACCCCTAAACAGTTCATTTCTGGTTGATGTAGCCGTCAAAAATCGGTTACGGAGGTGACGTAAGACAATCTGACGAGCCTCTGCATGTGACGTCACACGTGGTCGACCTGGCCGAGGGCGATCAGCGGTGGTACCCGTTTGCTGTAGACGCGTCTGTAAATCATAAACAGTCCGTCGACTACAACCCATCGTCCTTGCGACTTCAGCTACTGACGTTCCAGTGTGCAACATGCCGATTGCACGTTCATGTTGCACATTTGAAAGGCGTGGCATGACAAATGGCCGTAAAGACTTTTGTTTTCTTGTGTTTTTCTTTTTTTGTTAATGACTGCTAACAAGTGTGGCAGAAAACACGTGCGGTGTTGGCCACTTTTGCCACTATAGTGCTGTGCACATGATTTTGATCGATTCACCTGCACAAAAACTGGTGTTATCTGAAGACAATACGTGGCCATTACTGTTTAAATACACAATAAGGGCCCACAATGATAAATGTTAAAATTTTGGGATTGTGAAGTTTTTAATTTGGTTCAGTATATATTGCCGGGTCCAGCAAATTCACCACCAAACCCCTGTCTCAAAGATTAACCATGGTCCTTTATACACCAAGAGGGGGAGTGGGCGGGGGGCTTTCTATATAATTCACAGAAATTATTTGAGACAAGTGGATCCATGGACTACCACATGGATGACATCTATGTACAATTTTGAAGTAAGACATTTAGGCAAGAAGTGGGCATCCTCATGGGCACCAATGGACTTCCGTTCTTGCTAATCAGTTTCTTTATGCATACTAATCAGAGTGAGTGAGTTTGGTTTTACGCCGCCTTTAGCAATATTCCAGCAATATCACGGCGGGGGACACCAGAAATGGGCTTCACACATTGTACCCATGTCGGGATTCGAGCCCGGGTCTTCGGCGTGACGAGCGAACGCTTTAACCACTAGGCTACCCGACCGCCCCCATACTAATCAGAGATTTGCAAAGTTCAAACAAGGTAATTTGGCCAAACTTTTAAACTTGAGCTTCAGGTATATCAATGATCTGATATCGTTCAATAACCATCAAATAGCCGATTCCCGACCTCTGATTTAGCTACCTGAACTAGAAATTGAAGAGACCAGTCAATCTGCCTCGTCTGTTTCATATTTTGAGCTATAAACATTCCGAGTGCCAAAAAACTCTCCACATATTTGGCCTTTCAAATTTGTCTGATGTTCGTGTGGAGATTAAACAAGATGTCACTGCCTCCCCCTTTTCTTCCCCAACAGGAGTGGGCCTCCTGCTGGTGGGGGGTTCCGTGGTGACGGCGGGGGTAGTGGAGGTGTACCGGAAGCAGGTCATGTCAGGTCGTGGCGCCGTCATCCAGGTGCTTGGGGATGAGAAGTTCAACGCATCGTCCATGTCTGTGCTTGTGCAGGTGCCTCAGTTTGCATTTGTGGGAGCAAGTGAAGTGTTTGCCAGCATTACAGGTGGGTCGTATTAAAAAAGAACAGAGAGCAAACGTGAAGTGTGAATGATTGGGGCATCACGTTGCAACCGGTAAAATTCACGCTACATCATGATGGTCTGCTTTTTGGTCGAGTCTGGACCGAGAAAACCACTTGTCAAGCGAAGTGAATGAATATTGTTTTGCGCCAAGGGTATAAAGTAAGTAAGTGTGTGTGGTGACTCCTGGTAAGGACTGGTCCCGACAACCCATGCCTGTAAGAGGCGACTTCCTGGATCAGGTGGTCAGGCTCAGTCACTGGCTTCATTGCGTGTCAGCCTACGCCCAACGTGGAGGATAGTTGCTCTTAATATCAATCGCTGATTTGTATGATCTAAATTCGATTTGGGGGCACGGGTGTCCCAGTCGTCTATGGTGCCGCGATTCGCTGTGAAGAGTTGGGTCCCTTGGGGTCACCAGAAACCTATGATTCTGGGTTCGAATCCCGGTTCGCCCTGATTATGTTTCTAGGTTTGTCAGCACCATACCCGTGATCGTGGGATTCACCGAGACCTGCATCACTTCGGTCTTTCCTCCCACATTAACCTGACACGCCGGATACTGGAATACTGTTAAAGGCGGCGTTAAATCCAACTCACTAGATTCGATTATTTACAGACCGCCGTGGTATAGCTCGAATATTGCTAAGAAACAATAATCTGAACCAGGCACACCTTAGCCTCTTGGTACACATTCACAGCACACACAAGCTCACATGGGGGCAGCATAACAGGAATCTCAATGACATGAATATAGTAATATGTTCCGCTTCATGTTAAGACTTCAGTGTGGTCTCATTGAAATGCCATGTTCTATCATTACAGCTTTAACATCTTACCATATGTTTTCCTAGGTTTAGAGTTCGCGTTTACACAAGCGCCCCCTTCAATGCAGGGGCTCCTCACAGGGTTGTTTCTGATGACCTGGGGACTAGGCAACTTTCTTTCATCGGCCATTCTTAAAATAGTTGAAGTTGCCACGAAAGATGGTAAGTTGTCGTGCAGTGTTTGTTTGATTTATTAACATCATTAGAACAATAGGAACAGTTGACAATGTTGTTTTACCTCGAGCAACTGTGGACAAAAGGAGAGATATAAATACCCACAAAGATAATTCATTCATGACCAAAGAGATACATTCTGGAGACTAATAGTCATTCTGCCATGCCATTGAAGAATGCTTGAATCCTAATGGTTAAAAAGAGGTTTCCTTTTGCAAAAGAAACCACTTTTATATATATTAGAGTTTTCACACACAAAAAACGTGTGTATCGATCATATCAATCCATAAAAAGTGACTGCCGATCACCGATCTGAACTGTATACCGTATCAATATTTCCTCTAATAGACGTGGGGCTTCTAATACAAACAACGCCTCCCGTGAAGTTAATAGACGGCCCATTGTTTAATAGAGGAAATATGGTACGTGTCACATCGGATGATTTTGGCGACAATTTTGAGGTTTGAGGAGTTCGTTTCGAGCCCCCGATGATAAGATTCAGATATAGAAACTGACAGTTTTAGCCCAGGCATATCTTTTGCATACAAATGAATACGTCTATGAAACTCTTATGGACATGTTTGGTGGCCAACAGGTAATTTCCCCACTAAAACGTGCGATAATGAAAGTAAAACATAACATAAGAAAGTGTTTTAAAAAACCTCATTCATGACAACATACTGTTTACAAAACTTTTTGTGATCGATATTAATTGCCATCACCATCAACCACCAACTCTAGGAATTAGCAGGAGAGGACTGAAAGTCCATCGAAAAACACTTCGAAAGACCACGAAAACTCACTTGTAAACAAATAACAAGTGACGCCCCATCACCGAGGTCAAAGGGGTAGGCACTTTATCACCAGCTTATCAAACATGATGAAAATCACTTCAGAACACGCACAGTTAATAAAAACATACACGAACCAGTGTATTGGGGCCTTTCACATTCCGACTGTCACTTTCATCATCTGGTAAGCGACGCTTTGATTGGTCGGATGAAAGGTCGCTCTGACGTGACCCGTAATGGGATGTCCTCAGATCTTTGTTTAGCGGCAGCGAGACCTTAGATCTGATTTTAATGAGATTGATGAGACTTACACATGTAAAATAAATAGTAGAATGTTAATTCATAAAGTTTGTTGGAGGAATATATTCGTATAACTTTTTTGAAAACTATTTGTCACCTCTACAATAGGAAATGGCATATTCGATTTCAAAGAATTGACTTGTCTCGCTGATTTCCAAGAAATGAATTGGTGAGCTCAAACAGTGCATAGCAGGTTGCGATGAAACTAAAACATCTTTCATTGGACTAAGTTTGGAGAGCTATTTGTCAACCTCTTTTTGAAAAAAATGTGTTTTGAACACTTATTTTGAACTCGTCAAGACTATGCGTATTTTAATGTTCAGCTTTAGTAGTATTCGTTACATATATAACTATCTCTGACCATTTTTCGGAATGTTCTAAGATAGCACTCGGTTACAAATTAATATAAGAGGTTTCTACTCAATAGTTGGACTACATCAAATTTCAAAAAACAGTAGTTTTCTATCTCCTAAAGGGACTATTATCCACTTTTCACAACTGGCTAAAAATGAACACAGGCCTCCAGTGACCTCCTTAGGTCAGCCATTGTTATAAGCCTTTCTTGAGTTTTGTTTGTTTGCTGTTTGACGCTGCAATATTCCAACTCTATGACAGCATTCTGTAAATGAGCTGTCAGTGCTCCCAATATCAACCAGCTATCATTTATCAGACAGGAGCTGACTGGCACAAAGCTATCGTAACGCTAGTCACGTCACAATGACGTTAACGTCACTTTCTAAAGGAGGACCCGGGTTTTAGTGTGGGGTGTATGTGATTTATTTTTTTTTAAATTTGTATTTTGTTTCACGCCGCACTCAGCAATATTCCAGCTATATGACGGTGGTCTTTAATTAATCGAATCTGGACCAGACAATCCAGTGATTGACATCATGAGCATCGATCCAAGCATTTGGGATACGATGACGTGCATCAACCAAGTCAGCGACCACCCTATCCCGTTAGTCGCCTCTTACGACAAGCATGGGTTGCTGAAGATCCATTGTACCCCGGATCTTGACGGGTCCGGGGTTGTATGTGATGCCGTGTGTATGTGATGCCGTGTGTATGTGATGCCGTGTGTATGTGATGCCGGTGGTTTACCTGATGCCGGGGGTGTATGTGATGCCGTGTGTATGTGATGCCGTGTGTATGTGATGCCGTGTGTATGTGATGCCGTGTGTATGTGATGCCGTGTGTATGTGATGCCGTGTGTATGTGATGCCGGGGGTGTACGTGATGCCGGGGGTGTATGTGATGCCGTGTGTATGTGATGCCGTGTGTATGTGATGCCGTGTGTATGTGATGCCGTGTGTATGTGATGCCGTGTGTATGTGATGCCGGGGGTGTACGTGATGCCGGTGGTGTACGTGATGCCGGTGGTGTACGTGATGCCGTGTGTATGTGATGCCGTGTGTATGTGATGCCGTGTGTATGTGATGCCGGGGGTGTATGTGATGCCGTGTGTATGTGATGCCGTGTGTATGTGATGCCGGGGGTGTATGTGATGCCGTGTGTATGTGATGCCGTGTGTATGTGATGCCGTGTGTATGTGATGCCGGGGGTGTATGTGATGCCGTGTGTATGTGATGCCGTGTGTATGTGATGCCGTGTGTATGTGATGCCGTGTGTATGTGATGCCGGGGGTGTATGTGATGCCGTGTGTATGTGATGCCGTGTGTATGTGATGCCGGGGGTGTATGTGATGCCGTGTGTAGGTGATGCCGGGGGTGTATGTGATGCCGGGGGTGTATGTGATGCCGTGTGTATGTGATGCCGTGTGTATGTGATGCCGTGTGTATGTGATGCCGGTGGTGTACGTGATGCCGGTGGTGTATGTGATGCCGTGTGTATGTGATGCCGTGTGTATGTGATGCCGTGTGTATGTGATGCCGTGTGTATGTACAAATGTTTGTATACTGATACTTGCCTCTCCAGATCCCTGGTTTCCCGACGACATCAATAACGGAAAGGCAGAGTATTTGTTCTTCCTGTTGGGCGGCATGATGCTCGTCAACTTCATCAGTTTCGTGTTCGTAGCTCGCCGATACACATACACCCCTCTCCCCACCGAGGTGAGTGACGCCGAGGAGAGTGACGCCGAGGTGAGTGACGCTGAAGATCAGACGGAAGAGGGGGCTCGGGTGACGACGGGAAAACCATCCGATACGACTTGACTTTTCTGCGTTTGTAAGTGAGTGTCAACAATAAATCTGATTCAGATTCCGGCGCAGTGATGACTTAGCATTAAACTTCTGCCATAAGCTAATTTGCATATCACTGTATTTTCTCTTGTTTGTATACAGACACGCCCATTCAGAATCAGAGCAGAACAGCCTAGTGTCGGGTTTCAATGCGCTTTAGTATCGTTTAGAATAATTTTAAATCCACGCCAACAACAACTGCGACAGAGTGGCAGTACATCGTCTACACATGAAAGTCGCTAGCTCGCCATAGGGCTTCGGTTTCTGCACGTGGAGTCAAGCTAAACAAAGTTCTCTTCCAAAACCTCGTCAAGCCAGATATAAACAACAAACACACAATGTGGCTTCCCCTGTGGCACACGCCGAGGCATTTACTCTGCATGAGAAACAAAGAAAGGGATTACAGGAAAAACCTATATAACAAACCCAATGATTTGGACACACTTAATCTGGCTTTAACACTGTCTCTGATATACCGATCTTTGGCATTCTCGCTCTTCCAGCGCCCGTGTCTCTTAAAAAGACGGTCGGGTACACCATTGTTTGCTGCCGCTGAAGCACCACCTGCAGGCCATATATTGACACATCACTGACAAAAGGTGACGAGGTTATACGAAATATTCCATGGAGTCATGTATAAGTCAGTGGCTTATTTTCATTTCATTAGAACATATTTACCATCAACAGTACTTAGTGCTCTGAGCACATATTCCTGAGAATCCTCGGCAATCCCTACAATCGTTAAATAACGTTGCAAGTGCATAACAGGACATAGCAGTGAATCGGATACACCTATGACTACCCATGCACCATCTCGGTACACGTCCGTCTTGGACTGTTCAATAAATAGACATACAATGTTCACAAAAGATGATATCTGAACGTGCAACAATTCAACTGATCGAAGAAAACCTGCAAAAGCAGCTAAAATCATTGCAGCAACTCTGCAGTCTTTTAAACATTTCTCACTTTCTAGAGACGATACCATACAACTAAGTTGCAATATTGTTATCGGTTCCTTTTTGTTTACTGGTTTAGCTAATCTCCGCTTACCAGCCTCCAATGCATTTCTTACCAGTGTATTGTCTGCGGGACTGTGTAACCCAACAAGAACATGAGCATATCGAATGCTGTAAAAAGCTGTATTGACAGGAGAAATACTTTCACAACTTTGTATTAAAGATAACGAATAAAGTGCGCAGTGCATAGGAGCATTTGGCAATAAAGTCGGCAAACCATGGGAATCTGCCATAATCAGAAAATCTCTTGAATCCCAAGTTGTATGATCTCACTGTAGTGGCTGATCTAGCCTCATTTAATAATTTGTCAAACCATGTACGTTCAGTTTTAAACTTTCTGGGAGGGTAGATATAACATCATGACATACAATGTCTAACATATCTGAAACAGAAGAAAGCATTTCAATCACTGAAATCGATTTTCAACGCTCACATTGAAGATTTTAAATCTGTTTCACCAAATAAACCCCCAATACGACTGGGAACATAAGCTTCTTTGCAAGACGGCAAATAAACAAAGTCTCTTACTTCTTTGAGAAATGTACCTTGTTTGCATAGCAAAGGCCAGAAACTCGCCGAGTACGACTGGGGTTTTGTTTGTTTGCTTGTTTGTTTGTTTAATATTCCAGCTATACGACGGCGGGCTGTAAAATAATCGAGTCTGGACCAGACAATCCAGTGACTGACATCATCAGCATCGATCTATGCAATTGGGATCGATGACATGTATCAACCAAGTCAGCGAGCCTGACCACCCGATCCCATCGCCTTTTATGGCAAGTATGGGCTGCTGAAGACTTATTCTACCCCGGAATCTTCAGGGTCACCCCTGAGGTACAACCAACGTACCCTTTGCTCTGTATTTGCACAGATGGTACAACACACGAGAAACCAGATACACTGGTGGTACTATCCAGATCACCTCATTACTCCAATCTGAAGTAAAAGTATCCACATTCTCAGAATTAGGGTTCCAGTACCAAGAATCGAAACGATTGATCTTGTAGTAAGAAGCAAAACGATCTATTGAATGTGGTCCCCATGTTTCATCGACTACATGAAAAACACAGTCAGCAACTACCCTGTCATCTCTATCAGCGAGCTTGCTCAGAAAATCTGCTTGATCATTTTGTTCTCGGGGAATCCAGTCTACTGCCAAATGTATACAGGATCTCAAACACAACTGCCAGATAATTAATGCAAGATTTTGTAAGTGTGTCTTCATGCTACCCTTAATTACAGCACATACATTGGTATTGTCCGTAAACCACTTGACTGAGTGAGAACCAAGAAAAGACAGAAAACTTGTCAGTGCTATAGATACAGCCTTCAACTCCCGCCATGTTGAACTTTGATTCATTTCGGCTTCAAACCACTGACCATGTGACAACCTTCCACCAAACTGAACACAGTAGCCACCGTAACCTGCACCACTTGCATCCCTATAAACAACCTTGGGAGGGGAATTGTCTGAACACAACGATCTGGACTTGAAATGTTGAATATTGTCCCGCCAGAACACTAACTGTTCCTTACTTTGAGCTGACAAAACAATCCAGTCATTCCACGAGTTAGCCGTCGGACAATCTACACTGAGTGACCTCGTCATAAGTTGACTGACTGAATAGATAACTGGTTTCATAACAATAATTTGACCAACAAGTGAAGATACATCACGAACATACACAGACCTACTGTTAGGGACTAAGAGAGATGTGATGCAAATGGAAAGCTTCTCTAACTTCCTTTCCGGTATAGCTAAAGTAAAATGTCAAGTGTTCACATGAATCCTAGCCATTCCAAACTTTGTGAAGGCGTCCATAAAGACTTTTCAACTTTAGGTACAAATCCAGAACTTATGAGGTCATTTAGGTACTTCACGTGAGTGGCGTGCAGGTCAAGCAGTTGAGAAACATGTAAATATAGAAAATACATTTTAACATGCCAGAAACCTACCGATATACAAAACGTCGACAAACACAAGCCAAAAGACCTACACTGGTGAAAACTGATCACAAGGGACCAATGCCCAGAACATTTGTGGCAGACCAAAAAAAGAGATCCAACACCCTCTGCTCCAGAAAGCGAACACTGATGAAGAAGGTATGATGACATAATGTCAAACATTTCATATGTAAAGAAACGCACATCAATATTAATGGCCATGTTAAAGCAAACATTACCTGAAGTCCCAATCCATCACCTCCAGAAGGCCCGCCAGACAGTCGCTGGCATTACATAGGAATGTGAACAGCACAAACTTAGTGCCAGTCCTGCCATGGCGGTGAAAGTCCTTACGCAGAGATGCTGCCTCATCCTTCGATCCGAGGTCTTCAATCTGATTACTTTCAGCTGTGATCATGTCAACCAGTTTGGCATTTGTCCTCTTGGTGACATCTTGAGACCTCTTACGGTCCCCTGCCAAAATGAACATGCGTGGTAGCTTCACCACGCATCCCAGTTTCTGACCTGACAAAATGGCATCAACATACAAAGATTTATTGTAAGTACACCTTCCTGAGAACAGACATAGATCCGAGTCCAGGGGCTGTCCTGAGAGAGACGTGTGCGGAACTGCACTTGAAGGGTTGGCCAGATAGCCAGACTGTCGCAGACGATGTCGCCAGTGACGGATCTCGTTGTCAAGATTCGGGTGATATATACTACATAAAAAAAATTATAGGAACACCCCTAAATTTCATAGCCATATATAAAACTTAACGTGGCTTGGTCATTTATGAACTTCAGAAAATGCAACTTTCTGTGTGCACTGAGGGCACTTTAAATGACGTTTTGAGTCGTGCATTTTTGCAAGTGTTTCTTTTTTTTTAGAATTTGGTCAAATTGATTAAATGCTAAAACAGGAAAAAACTTGGGTGCAGAAAGACTCCCTCGCCATGTCAGATTCAAACGCCAAAACACAACAACCTAGTGCACGTGTAAGGCAGAATTCCAATGCATTTGGTGGCAACTTTTCTTTATAAAGAAGCTTCAGACACTGTGAAGTTACACATTTCCTTAAACATGCCCCAGTGAAGACCGTTAAGCATTCATGACAGGTGTAGGGCCATAGCGTGGCTACAAGATGGTGAATCCATAAGAAATGTTGCCCGTCGTCTTCAAGTGTCACAGTCTGTCATTCACAGACTGAGGGAACGGTTCCAGACAACAGGGAGAGTCAGGACAGATGGCGTTCTGGTAGACCCAGAGTAACATCTAGGGCAGATGACCGATACGTTGTGCTGCAAGCCCTTCGGAACCGGTTCACAACAGCCAGTGCTTTGAGACTGCAACTCCGACAAGCAACACACACACCAACGTAAGCGTATCGACCATCAGGAACCGCTTCAGAGCTGCTCATTTAAGGTCACGTCGTCCAGCTGTACGTCCTCATCTTCGTCCTCATCACCGAGCTGCAAGACTTGCCTGGGCCAGGGCACATTTGAGATGGGATAATCAACAATGGTCCAGAGTTCTCTTCACTGATGAGTCCCGTTTCTGTCTTGAGCATAATGATGGAGGGGTCAGGGTTATGAGACGTCCTGGAGAACGTTATGATGATGCCACTGTACGAGAAAGAAACAGGTTTGGCGGTGGCTCTGTGATGGTATGGGGAGGCTTCAGTTTGCATCACCGAACACCTCTCTATCTTGTTCAAGGCAATTTGAATGGAGTGAGGTATCGTGACGAGATTTTGCGCCCTCTTGTCCTACCACAGTTGAACAACATTGGTCCAGGAGCAATCCTGCAAGATGACAATGCCAGATCACATCGGGCTAGAGTCGTTAGAGACTTCCTGCAACAGAACAATGTGACTGTGATGCAGTGGCCAGCATATTCACCGGATTTGGCACCGGATTTGAGCATCTTTGGGATGTTCTGGGATGACGTGTCAGGGGCAATCATGGAGTTGCACCAGCTCTTCAGGTTCTGGTTCAGTGACTCCAAATGAAATGGCAGGCGATTCCACAGGCTACCTTTCGCACCCTTGCAAGATCCATGAGGCAAAGATGCACCGAATGCATCAAACA